TTCATAATCGAGGAATCTAAATTCGTTTTTTTGTGTTTGAAATTTATTGCATCTAGGAATTGTAAACGATTTGTACTGATTAAAAGATTAAAATATTGGTTTCCCTGGGATTGGTAACGATTGAAATGTGGATTCTGAATGCGCATTGATATAAAAAAATGGGAAAAAAGTTGATGGGCTCGTCTAATATATCGCAAAGTTGAAGACAAGCGAAACGTGCGCGACGTCGTTACCGTTATATTATTTATTTTTAAAAATCGTGAGGTATTTAATAGAAAAATCATTTGCCAAATTAACAGGTCATCGCCGTCATCATCATCACGAATCTTAATTGGAAATTACACGCCGTCGAATTTATAATTTTTACGGACCAATTACTTTAATGTCTCGAAACATTCTAGAACTAATTTGTTGGCATGTTATAATTAATTCTAGCGCATTAACAAATAACGTTTCTTAACGCTTCCATTAATAACGTACATGAAGTACGTTCTAATAGCGACTTGTAAGCTGTAATACGAGTTTTTCACCATCTCAAAATATTATCCTTATTAGCATAGTTACATTTATTGATTGAAGTTGAGCTTGCGAATTATAGGTGTGTTTTCCTGGAAAAAAATATACTTACATGTATATAATTTTCAGTATAAAAATACTGTAATTAAATTAGTTTTTGTAATGTTATTAATAATGCTAGATACCTAATACAAAATTATTAATATCTGTGCAGACGTTCGGAAGATTTATAATTGCTCTATATTTTTTATAATAAATAACATGTGTAATTCGATTATGTATTTATAAAATAAAATTATCCTATAAATTTCAAAACTAGTTCACCTAAAATTAAACATAATTTGTCTATAAAACATTTCCTGATATATTTTATCTAAAAATATTTATGGGAAATACCTACCTAATTTTATATCAACAGATTGTTCTAATTTTTATAATAAATTATCACAGTTATTACTGTTGAACTAATATATTTATATAAATTTTTCTGTTTATTCTTTTAGAACAGATTGATAACTAAGATCTTTATTTCGCTAATATACCACATGAGATAATAGTTTTTCCAGCGTTTCCTAATAATAATACGATGAATATTTCATAAATCGAATTGCAGTCGCAACGTTGCTCCCGTACAATTTCGAAAATTACCATTTTTATGAGAATATAAATCGTAACAATCGAGCGAAAAAAACATTGTAACAGCGATACCCATATGGCGAGAGATCGAGCGCTTTTCGAAACTCAAATTCCATACACAATCGTCCGATTTAATCACTCAAATCGGAGATTATCTCCGACAAAAAAAAACTCCTGTTTTCCCGTCCTGTTTTCCTCGCCGGTAACGGAACGACAATCGTCCGATCTACGTATAATAAAATCGAGAAGACTTTAGCGAAATTCCATCCGATCCGACCGAAAAGTATATTTGCCAGCGTAGACGCTACATGACAGTTTCTATTGCTGTGTCTGGAAAATAACGCCAGATTTCCTATCAGCCAAAACGTAGGAAAAGAGCGGCCTTAAGGAATACCTAACAATTTTTTCCGGCTACCAATTTTGGATGTTTTTATGTGGAAAATTCGAGCATTATCTTAATGCATTATCTCATCGCATCGTGCATTATCTTATTTTGTCATGCACTCTCTTATTTCTTATTATTTTTCAATCGGACCTACATTATCTCATGAGTAATTTATTTATGTCCCACATTGTGTTCTTCAATCATGAGTTGCAGCATTTTCTCGTTCAATATATCTTATTCTAATCATTATCTTATCTTATGGTGCATAATCCTTCATACATTATCTTATTTCAACGTGCATTATCTTAATTAACCATTCTCATTTTATTCGTCGTTGGTTTGTTTTGAAAAATTTGAACTATTCTAATGTTACCTTATACCATTTTGTGTGAGATTTCTTGTCGTGTAAAAGACCTATTTTGTCGTGCCCGCGCGCTCGGTTTTTGTTTGAGCAAGCGTTGTTTGTGAAATACCTGATTGAGCACGTCTTGTGCATGTTCGTATCTTCTTGAAAGCATGTAGCAGGTGAGCAGGCAGCGCGTCCGGCGGTGCTTTGAAGAACGGAAGAGTAATGAATATGGTTCTTTTTGGAATATGTCGGGAATGCCACTCCGCTATTAATGAACTGAAACCGTCGAATCGGTTCGTTAAAAGTTATTCGCGTATACGCAGTTTAATTAATATTGATAAATCCCCGGTAAAAGTACGCCCTTGATGCGGCCGTTTGGCCGGCGTTCTATCGGCCGGCCATTTAAATACAGTCCATTTCTTTAATGTCCCCCCCCCCTTTTATTTTTTGAACGGATCAACTTAGAAAATTGAAATTTGGGATAATGAAACTAATGCATGATTACTATATTTTGGAGTAAAATTGACAGACGAAAATTTCAAGATGGCGACTGGGCGCCATCTTGGAAAATAAATTTAAATGGAAAGGGGGGTCTTGTGATACATCATTTTGAAGCTCCTGACAAATACTCTACAACCCTGAAATATAAAGTCAATATCTGCACCTGCTACAAAATGGCGGAACATTTAATAATTACTTGAATACAAACAAAATAATATCAATTTTTCTAGAAATATTTGTTTTTCTATGGCAAACAGCAATCCCAGCAAACCGATAAGGTTTGACAGGTTATTTTTGGTTAAAAAAATTCCAAAAAATTTAAGTACGACAACGAACATTAATTGTTTAGTCAAAATATGCTCATTTAGTTTTTGGTTTTCCTAGTGTTCAAAATATTCTCTTTAGTTTTCGATTTTCCTAGTGTTCAAAGTATTTTCATTTAGTTTTCGGTTGTTTAGTTCTCATTGCAGTTAGGTAGCACGTGAACTAACTCTAAAATGGCAAATTCTCGTCCATTGGAAGATGGAGCACCACCCCATTACCAGACAAGTAATAAACTATTTGGATGCTATTTTCCCTAGTCGTTGGATCGTTGGATTGGTTGTCGAGGTCCTACTGAATGGATTTGAGCAGAATTTGACCAGATTTGACACCTTTAGACTTTTTTTTATGGGTCTATTTGAAGCAAAATGTGTACGAAACTAAACCTGCTTCAATATTGGATATACGAGAAATAATTACAGATATTTGTAAAAATATCGACGTTACTATGTTCGAAAATGTTCGGATTGCCTGTTCTTGTATCAAGAAGTTCAAGGCAACCATTTCGAGCTTTTTTTGAACAGAACTCAGCTTATTTCCTCAAATTATGACGTTAAACGTCGATTTATTCAGGTAATTATTAAATGTCCGCCATTTTGTAGCAGGTGCAGATATTGACTTTATATTCCAGGGTTGTAGAGTATTTGTCAGGAGCTTCAAAATGATGTATCACAAGACCCCCCTTTCCATTTAAATTTATTTTCCAAGATGGCGCCCAGTCGCCATCTTGAAATTTTCGTCTGTCAATTTTACTCCAAAATATAGTAATCATGCATTAGTTTCATTATCCCAAATTTCAATTTTCTAAGTTGATCCGTTCAAAAAATAAAAGGGGGGGGGGACATTAAAGAAATGCACTGTATATCACGGAGTTAATACGGCGATGGGATTAAACTTTCTCTTTCGCCGTCTCGCTAGGGATTTCGAACTTTTCCTTTCTTACCGATGCCGCCGCGAATACGGGCGATTTGACTGTGAAAATATTTTTAAAATTGTTTTCGCCAGTCTGGCCGTTTCTTCTCCATTTCGCGTTTTCATCGTCATCGAATTCCTCTAAAAATTGCGACTTGTTCTTCTCGTAGCCGGGATAATTTCCGATAGGATACTGCACTAGATGAATCATCGCGAATCTAAATGGACGTAATCGAAATTGAGATCGAAAAAACGTAAATTGGCGATTGCCTTAAATCATTTCGTGGCCATTCATCTAATGAATCGAGCACGGAAAGGTTATCATCGAACGAGTTAATTTTATTTATTAAAGGAATGTCGAATTGTCGGTTCTAATATGTGTAGCAACACAAATGATTTCGTTTTTTTTTTCAAGTCAAATACACAGGTGTGGACTCGGGACAATTTTCACCTGGTGGCAACAATTTGATAAAAGCACAGAATTAACTGACCTATTTTTTGAACAATAGTACAAATTAATTTGATACAGAAACAGTATACATATATTGGATTATTATTACATTATAAAATTGCACTATTTCTTTGATCAAAAAAGTAGTAAAATCCTTAACAATTTTCTCTATACAAGATCTTTCAGTTCTTATGTAATATTGCAGTTTTTTGAATAACATTTAAATTGGCGATAGTCTGGACCTGGAAACGTTATATTTCTTCACGTCACAACAGATCGAGCCGACAACTGATAAATTATAGGCGATATCCTGTTCGCAGGTGAACCAGTCTTCACCATAACTATCAAGCCACAGGCCAATCTACTTTGGCCCAATACATATTATTCATTCATCTACTGAAGATCTCCGATGGAAGAACGATGTTTCGTGCACTTCTAACGACTTGTAAATTGTTATTTTTTCGATTATCAATTGAGTTACTCGAAGTTTGATTTGATGCTGCTATATGTATAAGGGCTATTGTGTAGATTTAATTTCGATTTGGCTTTCGGTGTTTTTTTATCGAAAAACGACTATGCGAATTTCTAAGCACCTAAAAAGACGTAAATTTATACCCTGGAATTTTTTTCTTCGAAATAAAGTAGTTTATCTTTAGGGACATTATTTATCGAATCAGCACGGATCCCGACTGGAAAAAAAAGGAACCTTTTTATAGATTCTCCCAACCTTTCACAATAACTCCTCTGTTTGCTTTGCAGATGAGAAATGGAATAATGGAGTAGGTAATAGAAAACCGGGAGTTTTTGTCGTTTCTAAAATATGAAAGGATTATTTATCAATCTGAAATCAATCGAAACCGAATAATTGCTAATTTTTTTTCAAGCATTTTTAAAAGTACCCGCTTCTTTTCCACCGATACATATCTGACCTTGGCTCACGAGAGATCATCAATCCGATTTGATCGCTTAAGAACAGCAAACTACATCAAACGAAACGAAATTAAATCTGACCCACTTCCCACAAGCCTTATTAATTTGCGTTGGTCCCTTCCAAATACCGTGATTAACAGTCTTATAACGTTTAATTAATAGTTCGCTTTTCAACCGTCACTTCATAACTTCAAACTGATACTTTACGCTACAATTTCCTACCGATCTGATGGGCATCAAAAGATTTAACAACTAGTTTTTCTACGCTACGAATACCTAATAGAATATTATTGAAAGCCACTTTAACAATCTTAGGAATGCAATTCGTATATTAGCGACACATTTTTCGAATGCCCGTCCGGTGACAAAAAAACCGCAATTAATTAACGAACGTAACGAGACATCGATTTACAATTCAATATACTCATTGGAAATATCTCGATTCATAAATGCCTGTCGCGCATCCGAATTAGCTCGCCGTTAAACAAGCGAGAACGATGATAAAAAAATATCCGCGAAACCGCAAAAACTCGCGGATATTTCGCGACCTTTAAAGGCCATAATTTGTACCCAAGCAAATGCTTTTTTCGACTTAAATCATGCCAGTAGCTTATAGTCTCTCCGGAGTTAATTCGATATGATGTACGAGATAAGACAATTCTCTTAGGTTTAAAAGTTTTAAGTTTAAAATAACACCCGCTCGATGAATTTTTGTAATAAATTCACCAAGTGTATATTTTTTAACGTATATTCAATTGATTTTGTAAAGAGTCTACGTGATTTTTGCAAGGTAAAGACCGCTTCGGTGGCTTTTTAAAGGGATTTTAATTGAAATGAATAAGCCGCCGGTGGAATTGTGTTGTTGTCGTTGTTGCTCTTTATTTGGAACAATGAGATTTATTAATGCATTATCCGGCTAACATGACACCTTAGCGTGTGAAAAATTCTGCGCAAGGAGACGCAGATAAGAAAATATTCTATGCATTTTAAAAGACTCAATAAGGTTATTTGTATTTCAATTGGAGTACGCGTAGGATTCTGTACATCGATTAATCCACGTCGTACGGTTAACGTTATAATTTATCATCGGATTTGTAAAGCAAAAAACTCTACTAATTTGCATTTAGTAATTTACGAAAGATTTATCTCTTCTATGCAGCGCAGTTTTCTCCTCCTTGTTTCAATGTTATTACGTTTATTTCATCGGTTTTAATCGACTCGGGGACAATGAAATCCTTTTTTCTTTAAGATTTTTCCGAACTAATTATATTCTAGGGCGCGAGTTCTAAATAAATCGCCGTAAAAAGCGGCTCTGACAATTCATTAGTTAACCGAGCTAAATGCGGACGCAAAAAGCCCGGCCGCTTCATGTGATATAGTCGAGATTCTTTATTACATTATTACTAACAGCTTCTGATTAAACGTTAAGGACGTTTCTGATTTATTTTATCAGATCCAACCGCTACTTTATACCTATTAGTAGTCACAATAATTAATTATGTAGCTAATGCGTATTACCTTATTTAGTAAAAACTAATTTTTTCATCATCTAATGCAAGCGTATATTGGTCGATATCGTTGGTAAATCAAAGGCATTTCAATGTTTGCATACATTGTAATTTCAAAATTGGCATGTCTTTGATTGATACGCGCCTTTAATACTGATCATTGCCGCGACGGACGTTCCAGTTGATGATCGAAAGCGAGCGATCGAGGGAAAAAATCGCCAGAATTCCGCGGGCTTTTATGCATAGAGCGAAGAATGAGAGAGCGGAGTAACGGTGGCACTGGCGCTCGTCGTTGCTCCAGGTCGAGCGGATTCGCCCGCAGGAATGCAGACCGCCGGCGATGAGGAGTTCTCGAGCGACGGCCGGCCCAGGAGGGGCGCCAACGGGCTGTCGAGGTCGCGGAGTCTTCCGCAATTGTCCCATCACGACTCCGGCATCGGCAGTTACTATGGGGTCGGTCGATTCGATCCGTTCCCGGATAGAGATCTTCCTTTTGGGGGTTTGACGTTATAATGTCAAAATGACGTTTGAATTGTCATTAATGACAGGATGACGTTTAAACTGTTAGTGTTCAGGGAACCACCCAAAAGGATAGGTCTCTTTAAAATCAGTTCAACAATCAATCTGCACGATAATACATGCATAAACAATTCGTAATTTTTGATGATAGTTTGTGGAATTGATTTTAAATTGTAAAGCGTAGAATTGACTATAATTTTCTTAATACATATTTTACAATATTTACTCTTTCTTCAAAATAACAAACTCGATTGGTGAACGGGCTCGACTTTCTACTGCAAGTATACTCGTTATATTCTTAAATTCGATGATTGACCGGTAATTGCGGGATTTGCGAAGGAAAAAATCGATTCAATCCGAGAGGAACTCTAAAAGAAAATTGAATTTTTCATGGTTAATAGCCGACAATCAAAAGGTCGTTATCGAGCGAAGGAATTTTAATGAGCTTTAATAAAATTCACTTAACTTAATATAGTGTTTTTGCGAAATTATAGGGCCTTCGTAATTTCTCGTTGATCGCGTAAAAATCGCGTGAATAACGGACAACGTGCTAAAAGCGGAACGGGAAATCGTGCCCAATCACTCAGTCATCCTGCATAAATAATTAACGAGAAGATAATAGAGTAAAAGTTAATTTTTTCGAGATACAGAATTTGTATAATCTACGAAAATTACAGTCGATTTTGCGCTAACGAATACAGGGTGTTAATAATTTGAGTCCCGAACTTCAATATGTGAATATTTGGATGATTTTAAGAAAAAAAGTTTATAACAATATATGTCCTAAACATCTTAGTTTTCGGGCTACAGGGTGTTACAATTTTAGAAAAAAATAAGTTTTCTATCATTATTTTCTTATTACTCCAGATATTTTTATGAAATTTCGGACGTGGACGTCACTGATAATAGTAGAAAATTCATTTTTGTCTCCCAAAAAAAGTGCATTATGGACGCCTACCAAATTTCAACAAAATATCAAAAGCAGTATCAAAATGAACTTGGGAAAAAATTGTTTTGGTTTTTACTTTTTTACGCGAAAATGATGCATCGTACGAAAGTAAGTACGTTTGCCTTAAAAAATACTACTTAATAGTTAAAAAGTGTGTACAAAATTTCATGAAAATATCTGGAGTAATAAGAAAATTATGATGGAAGTTATTTTTTTTTCTAAAATTTTAACACCCTTCAGCTCTAAAATTAAGAGGTTGAGGACATATATTCGGCATTCAATTAATTAACATCCTATATATCCGAATTGCTCGAATCGACCCAAAAAAATTAAAACGGTCCATAGGGCTCAGGTGCGGACGACGCGCCGGCCAGTCGGGCCGCCAGGCTCGTGGCGGATCTACGGCAATTGCTAACCTTGAAACAGCACTATTACCCCGAAGGCGGCTGGGGGTGGGTCGTGCTCATCTGCGCGGTATTCGTCCACGTCCTGGCCCACGGCATGCTCACCTCAGCCGGGCTCTTTTATCTGGAAATACTAAAAAAATTCGGCGTCGCCGAGAAAGGACCCACAGGTACTCCCACTAAATCTTTGTACGAGTCTTAAGGATAATTTTATAGTCCTATTTAATAGGAGTTTAATGAGTGAGATAATCTAAAATAGGTAGTTTTATTAGGTGTATAAATTATCCATTATGGACCGATCGGTAGTGAAATTATCTCCAATAAAATAAGTGTTTTCCTTAACTATCCTAATGGTAACTAATAAAAATTAATCAGTGCAGGCAAAACTTTAATTCAAACTCATTAAAATTTCATCTTATAAAACCTATAGTAGAAATAGTACATAGTTCCTCCACTTTTTCCCTCAGAGTAGTTACTAAGAGCATTAATTGAATGAGATGTTGAAGAGGTTTTCGAATGAATTTTTGCACAATATACGCGGGAATTAACAGTATACGGCATGCCGTTTGATGTGCGTGTTATAACTTGTTTCAGGATGGCTGGGAGCGATGTCGACCGGCGTGGCACTTCTCATCTCCCCCGTGACGATAGCCTTCTGCAGACGGAAATCCACCAGAGTGACGGCCGTTATGGGCGGATTGATCACCGCCCTGGGATGTCTTTTCACGTCGTTCGCCACGCAGTTTCACCAGTTGTTTTTCAGGTGAGCGAAACGCCGAGCGATCGACGATAAACCGACAGATTTAACGACTACAAGTCGATAGAAGGTCTTGCTATTCTGGAATACTGCATTCTGCTGTGAGGTCGGTGCATTGACCAATGAGATTTGCAAAATTTTCTAGGGAAACTAGTACCTACAGTTGGTGCAAAACAAATATCAATGCACGTCACCTATGATTTACTACGTCACAAGTAGGCAGTGTTGTCGAACTTTTGTAAAGTTTACAAAATCTAAGATTTTTTTAATATTTACAAATGGCAAAATGAGAAGAGCAAATTGAAAATTAGGGATACCTGTTTCACGTTTCTAAACGGTGAAAGTATTCAGGGACTCATTATAATTAATCATGAAATTCCTTTATCATCTGAAATATATTTAACAGTGAGAGTAAAAAATTTAGTGTACAATTGACCCATAAAAGAATACATAGTGAAATTTCTGAGAAAACTTCAAAATCTTAATTATTTAGAGCTCAAATTGTCTTATTTCTAACATGTGGAAAAGATAACAACGCGAAAAATTTCTTGATTATTCGGCTGAATAGCCTTTAGTAGTTGAGGCTAGTAAACTAGAAAAAAAATGAAGAAATTGAAAATTAAAAGTACCGATCGAATGACAACGGCAACTATGCAACTTGACAGTCAGTGCCTACCAACTTACAAGAAGAAAATAATAATTATTTTATATACAAACGTTGAATTTTGACGATATATATTTTTTGGATGATTTAATTCTGCTTTTTAACATTTTCTATCATCCCTTGTTATTATTAAATTAACTTCTGCAGGTATTAAGCTTAATCTATTTTGTGTATTTATTTTTAAAAGTTGGTCACAATGCTTGGCAAGTATGACGACAGTAGTGACGTGCATTGATATTTGTTTTGCTCCAACAATACTTTATTCTTGCTGGAAAATGTTATTCAAGGCAATAGTAGGTATAAATATTCGCTATTGATTTCGAGAATTCAATTAGGACCATTTTTTGTGCAGCCAGTTCGTAAGTTGAATTCCTAAACCGTTCCAAATGGCCATAAATCGAGCCTTTTTGCATTAACGAGGGAAAAAAATTAGGAATTCGGAAATGACGCGTAATAATTCGCTTTCCCTTTCTGCCGGATAAATCCGAAATTTATCGTTGCAGCTACGGGACGGTCGTCGGCATCGGCGTCGGGATAACGCGGGACTGTTCCACGTTAATGGTGGCGCAATATTTCAAAAGGCGCAGGGAATTTGTCGAGATTTTCATTGTCTCGGGCAGCGGATTGGGCATAGCCAGCATGTCGCTGATTATTAGGAGCACCATCGGGTAAGTAAATACAAACCAACGAATTCTCTGTATAACTAAAAGTACCTACTTTATTACCATTTTAATACGATCGATTAACCGCGTAAAACCAAAACGTTGAACCGTGCAGGTTACTTACCTAATAAATCAAAAGTCTATAGATGAAAATCCCCTTTTTCCGCCACGAATTTCCCTAACGATCTGATTGATACGAGGAAGTTCCCGTGCGGAACGCTGATAACATTCACTTATACCTTAATGCCGGAGCGCTTCGCCGGGAATTATGGATAAAGTAAGTGAACGTACAAACAAAAGCCCGGATAACTGAACATCTTCCATTAAACGCGGCCAGGTTTAAATTCATTTTATGGTTTAGAAGGAGACTATAACGTTTATTCAATTTATGGCGCAGCCCGAAAGTTTCTAATAAAATTATAATAGATCACCATTGGAAGTGCTTTTGATGAATTTCGCATTGCCATCGAGAGCATTACAAATATTATGTGCAATCCGGAATTTAAATCACGACCTGTCGCTATTGGGAAGACAGGTAATAAACATCAACCCCTAATAGAATGCGGAATAACAAAGAAACTGCCCGGCTACATTTACATCGGAAACGCGAGTTCTCTCGCATATCATTTGCCCCGTCGGCCTCACGCTAAATCATCGCAACATTTAACCGTAAACTATCCTTTTCAGTCGCTACATTGCTTTCCGGATGTTAAATCATAATTCTTTGTTTTCACGATCGATTTCCATTAACCACTTTCTTGATATTCAGCTAGAATCTTTTGTAACTTTTGCGGTTATTTTGTAACGCACGTTATGCCACCTCTATTCGTTAAAATTAGTTCCCACCTCTATACCAAATGTCACATAATTGTGTCAAAAATGTCAAAAAATGACGTTTAATGGATATGACTATTCAACCGAATGTACGTGATTTGGTAGTGTCTACTCGTACGTATTGATTTTTGTTCGTTTTTTAGTGCTTTGGGTTGGAGACTCGGTTTGCAAGTGGTCACCGGGGCGATTTCAGTAACCTTCATCCTGGGCACTTTCTACCGATCAGCTTCGCTGTACCATCCCCAACGTCGCGCCATTCTGCACATAAAAAACCAAAAGAGGAAGATCAAAGATAAGAATAAAATCGAAGATAAGGCGCCGTTCTTCGATTTCAGCACGTTGAAAAGCAAAACCGTCCGTATTTTACTCATTTCTACAGGTAAACATCGAACTCCACAAACTTTTATTCGTTATAAAACAATTATTTGTGTTTAGGTATAAGCGCCTTCGGGATCAACACGCCGCTTTTCTATTTAGCCTACCAAGCCGAAGTGGAGGGTCTCGGCGACTCCACCATATTTCTACAGGTGTACCTAGGCCTCGCTTGGACCGTGGGATGCGTCGTTTTCAGCACTCTGGTACTGCACAATTCCACGGAATGCCGAATAGCCAGGCAGTACTTGTGCCAAACTGCCGTATTCATGTGCGGCTTGTCCATACTGGCCTTCACCGTCGTCAGCGGCAATTACCACGCGTACGTCATGTTCGCCTGGATTTACGGTAAATTTTTAGTACTGCATAATGAGGGTACTTCAAAGTACTTCAAGGGCCGGTTGCACGAAACTTTGATCCAGTGTTAACACCGTGTTAACCCCGGGATCAACTATGACAACAGTGTAAAGTGTTGCTCGAACGTCAAAAAATGCAGGATTAGCACTGTCAATTGATCCTGTGTTAACCCCGTGCTAAGGAATATTTTGCGTTGCACGAAAGGAAAATCTCGATTTAACACGGTGTTAACAAAGGATCAACTAATTCGTGGTCGATGGGGGATTAAAGTGTGATCAGTATCATTTTGTTGTGCGTTTTATAGTGTATTTTTGTGTGTTCGTTTTTATTTTGAGATTTTAGGTATCAAAATATAAGTACATAATTTACTTTTCATAAATTGAACAAAATAATAACACTACGATATTATTTAAGAACATGTCCGATTTTTCAAATTTCTCTTCTTTAAGCAAATAAGAAAAGATAATACGCTAGATTAGGCGCCAAACTATAATGAAATCCGGTAATATATGGGATATTGGAGAATTTGGATTTAGTTTCTTCTTTCTTCTTTCCTTATAATTCGTTTCTTATATTTGTTCCGGCGCAAATATGAATGATTTTTGTCTAAAAAATGTCACTACAGTAATTTTTCATTCAATTAATCGAAATATTAGTATATAGAAATATTAGTAACAAAATAATAGAACACTGGATCAAGACGGGATTAACCCAGGATTCGTTGACATGATTCTAAAAAGTTTTGAGCAACGCAAGAGAAGAGTTAGCACCGTGTTAACTTTAACCCTGTGTCAGTCAACACCGAACTTGATCCATTTTCCCGCAACCGGCCCCAAGTATACTAAAAATAGAAGCTAAGCAAATGCAGTATAATTTTAACGTTTTTAACAGGTATATTTTGCGGAGGGTACCACTATTCCTTGAAAATGTACACGTACGAACGAGTAAGAGCGAGGAATTTCGCCAGAACCTGGGGATTCGTGCAGTTTTCTCAAGCCATACCAATCGTAATAGGCGTGCCATTTTCAGGTAAATACTACACTCACAACGACCCCTTAATCTCTGCTACTTGTTGGTTTTACAATCGTAGGTTACATGAACGAAAAGTGCGGCGACAGGGCCGGGTACTACTTCAGCTCGACGTGCGTGCTCGTCGGCAGTTTGACGTTGTTCCTGATCGATTTGCATCGCAGGAAGATCGCCCGGCACAAGCACACCCGCGAGAACGGCACCCGGCACCTGTGCGTGGCCGAGAACTGCCCGCAACGCAGGAAACTGTCGTTCTCGCAGGAACCGGACAATAACGAGGGCGGCGTGACGATGGGGGCGGCCGCAGCCGCCTTGGTGCTCGGCGCCGATTTGGGCGCCAACCAGGGCACCGGGATACTAGATAATATTGTTCTGTCTAACGAGAAGCCGGAACTGACGTGCATTTCGGAAGAAGGTTTGTTTGTTATACTCCGTTCGCTAAGCGGGAGATGATAATAAAATTATTGGTGCAAAAAAGTAAAAAGTGCAAAAATTGCTTTGTTATTTGTTTTGCACCGACTGTATATAACGACTGTTATACCATTTAAATGTATTTTTAGGTATAGCGGATATGGATCTTCCGGACAACTTGTTAGACGATTTGGATTACATAGGAGACTGTATTACTTCTTGTAATAAAGTAGAAAATTATTTAATGCTTAGCGAGTTCGAGAATAATTTAATAGCGGAAATGCCTGTGATATTGGACAGGAAGGGTAGACGCTGGTCGTTGGCCAGATCGAAGACGAATCAAAATAACGAGGAGCAAACGAACAACGAAGAGGATAATAATAGCGCCACTAAGGGTAACGGGAAGTGGAAGGTTTTCCCGAATAGGGTTATTACTGTTATAGATGAATCGTCGGTTTAGAGAACGTCGTTTACAATATATAGAAATTTAAGCCTTCGATTAGTCTAGATGTCAGTTTAAAATTTACGAATGGGGCCCATTGGATTTATTAATTTTATTTTTTCAAATTGCGCGTAACTGATACTATAAAAAAGAGTATATGTTTAATCAATTGAACTATTTTTTGTCATTAGAAAAAGTAACATATATATTTTATGGCAATAAAAGTAGATATATTATTATCTAATAAACTTTTTGATCTTATTAATAAATCGAAATCGGTCCATAATAAAATTAAGTAATTACTTGGAAACAATGGGAATTTAAAGAATATTTTTGTTACTGGGTGTATTTCGAAAGGTGCTCAACTTATCCTGTTCCTATGACTTTTTGCCAATGTTGTTCTAATTTTACGAAAATATTTTACGATATATTATTTTTGTGGCATACATTCTATTATGTACGTTACGTTAAAAATGTAATTCAGATTTTAAATTCCCAGAGAATACCTTATTTAAACTAAACTAAATAAATCAACCAAACTATAATTGAAATGTCTCATTTTGGAGTTTTTACTTGTTTGTTTTACGGTCAAAATGAGATATTCTTGAGTTGATTAAATATTAAACGGGACATTTCGAAATTAAAGGGCAAATGACTATAAACTTAGCAAAAAAAAAACGAACCTCTTTGTAGTATTTTTACATTATGATAATTCAATTTTCTATGGTAAAATAAATACATAGTTCAACTCGATTTAACAAATTACATAATTACAGCTCATTACTTTCGAAACCTCCCTCGTAAAGAGATTTGTAAATACATAAATGTAATGTTTAGTAGATTCGCTGTTGTATTTATTAGAAATTATTTATATCATTAGTGTATAAAATAAATATTCACATGGTTTTTGATGCGTCGTAAACTAAGCAAATTTTGCAACCTTAAATCACTTGCCGGAAATTACAATCCTTATGCTATATCGTCGATTTAATCATTGAATGCCAAATTGAATCAAATATGCCAACATTTTTATTCAAACTGTTATTTGTGTTGCATAACTACTGCACACAACTTATTTGAATCATCCGTCATATTCTTCTTTTTTTGCGTTAGAACACTAAGGTTATGCAGCGAGATATTATTATTGTTAAACTGTACTTTAATTTGTTTATTATTGTTTCTTCTATTATAATATTAATAACTTAATAAATAACTAGTTTAATAATCACAACAAACACTTAATTTAATGAAATAATCGCGTTCAAACTTCGTGTATTTCAAATTAAAAGTTGGCACACCTGCTCAAACTCCCCCACTTAGCTGTCATATGTCATCCTTCTTCTGTGACACAATTCACAAAACAAACCGCAAAGCAAACATGAGAAGTTGAGTATTCGGCTTTCGGCTCCGTTCTCAATTTTTTCATTTAAAATTTAAAACTTGTTTGTACTTGATAACATGGTTGTAAATACATATCCGTGTCCGCAATCTCGCGTGTTTTAGTTTCGCGCATCGTGAACGAAACATTCAGTTGCGTCTTTAATAAGTTATAAAATGTTTGAAGTTTGAATTTTTTATCGATAGGAATATTTTTACGGAACTTATTCTCATATTATAAATAAAATGAATGAGGAAACCGTCACGAATGTATCGGAAATAAGCGATCCTGGTAAGTAATAAGTAATGTAGTAATGTCATTGTAGATTCATTTTCGTTAACAATGAAATTAATTTGTTGTTTACATGTTGTCAGTTAACAATTTGTTTTCGTTTTTTTAGAGTTAACGATGGAAATTGTAATGAAGAAAATATACACTTCTTGTGACCCAGAGGAAACGAACAGAGCTCGAATATCTGCTGTTATCGAATTCATAAGGCCATACATGCAAAAAGATTTGTAAGTACAATTTTTCTTTAAAGTTTTTTAACCTAATTCTCGACCGGTTTTTCTCCTAAACCGATTTGAATTGATAATGGATATCCCACTTATTAGTTTACCCCGTATGAAGGTGAGCTTTGTAATTCAAAAAGAATGTCAGGACAATGACTCATGGTGTTTACATATTACTGAAACCTTACAACTTATCCTACAACCTACATAATAGATTATATTGGAAAATATAATCCAGGAATTTGAGTTAAGGTGATTTGTTCTGTGTGGGTTATTTTTTGAAAATTAATCTTATTAACTTTACCTAGTAATCTTGTTTGGAGCCTTTTTATTTTTTAATTTATATAAAAAAAGGAATTTAAAGACACACATGCACACCTGTTAAATCAAACATTGTTTTGTTTATAAAACATTACTAAATTTTAAAAGAGATGTTAATAATAAAAAGATAATAAAATGAGTTAAAATTATCATATTTTTTAAATGTTACCTCCTCCAAGTGCTGATGATTGCTTCCATAGAAATGTTTTGAGTAATTCTGCTGTTAAATGAATACTAATGTTAATTTTAGCATACACTGAAAAAATTTTGGTACATAATATCAATGAACACCATGTTTTCAACTTGTTTTCATTAGCTCAATAAAATAATACATTAATCCAATAAATTTTCATTCATTAGTTAATGAATTCATTTATTAACTCAATGTTTCTTGTAACATTAATTATTAATGTAAAATTTCATTAACTCAATAACAATTTTTATTAATTCAATGAAATTTAATCATTAATATAATAACCTAGTACATTAAAAGCGAATATTTCAGTTAATGTATTCGATACATTAAATCAAAGTAACTTGTACATTAATATAACGAATTGTTCATTCTTTTAATGAAATTTAATTATTGAACCAAAAACATTAATACATTAGTTCGATAAACCACATTCGTCATTTTTTATGTTGCCCGTACATTGATTCAACAAATTGAGTACATAAATCCTATGTTCGAGTTCATTGAGCCAATGAACGCATATACATCATTAGTTCGATAAAACACATTCGGCATTTTTAATGTTGCCCGTACATTGATTCAACAAATCTAATACATAAATTCTATGTTCGAGTTCATTGAGACAATGAATGCATATACATTGGTTCGATAAACCACATTCGCAATTTTTTATGTAGCCCGTACATTGATTCAATAAACTGGATACGTAAATTCTTGTCTCGAGTTCATTGAGTTAATGAACACTTTTCATTAAGTCAATGAATATCAGTTTGGATTTTGGCAATACACACTAGAGTGCAAATCTATGCCGTTCTATTCTATTAGAAAAAAAGAAATAGATAGAGACGCTTTCGAAAATCGCGTTGACCGTTAATTACCCCTCTTTCTCTCCTGTTATTTCGTGTTGAAGCGTTGAACTGGAAGTGTTCTGTTTAGTTAATTTCGTTTTCGTTTTGTATTATAAGAAGGAAGAAAATTCAAGCGCTGTTGTTTTAAGAGGTAAGCATTTTTTAATTCGGTACACTATAGGTTAATACTTATACATTTTATTTCTAGGATTTAATTTTAAACACAAACGTAAAGCCTAAGGGAGATATAAGTGCAACAACTTCAAGATTCATACAAAATGTGTGTAAGTTTTTATGGTTTTTACTACAACTCATTAAATTATTGGATATATTAAATTTTTAGGCCCCAAAGACATTTGTGAAACGTGCATAAGACTTCTGAAGTTTGAAAATTTATCATCGGAAGAGTTCGACGTATGCAGCATGTATTGTAACTTCGCTTGAGTGACATAAAAAACGCACAAAAATTCAGATGATAAAATGAACTTATTACAAACGACCATCTGGATATAGCTTGGTGAGTACCTTCAATAGTATACCTACCTATACACCGTGCTTCATTCGCGATTGCAACATGAGCATTTCTATGAGTTGAACAAAGAAATATTAGTAAAATAACAGTTGTCAGAGTGAAAAGTTGCAATGACATAATATCATACTGTTTCTTTTTCCTTTACAAGTGTCTAATTGAAGTTATCTTTGTTGCACCCATAGCCTATGTTGCAATCTATATACTTACTGGATATGTAGATAGGAATTTACAGTCTACTATATTAACCCATAATTTTTTTTAGATCGATATGGATTTCGCCCCAGCGTATGATGCAAAGAATTTTATGAAATAATTCGAAAATAATTCTTCGAAGATTGACCAGTTTCTTCTAGCAATAATACAAAAAATGTAAATTCGTTAATTTAATAAATCAAATTCATTAATTCAATGTACTGCGTTCATTAATTCAAAAGCTAAAATTCCTTAATTCAATAAAAGAAATTCATTAAACCAAGATCTAAGTTTCATTGATTCTATGAAAGCATTTCATTGAATCAATGTACTACATTTATTAGAAAAAATCTAAAATTTGTTGAATCAGTGTACACCGTTCATTAAACCAATGTAAAATATTACATTGAATTAATGTACTTCTTTATTGGGTCAGCAATTTTAATTCATTGAAATAATGATTTTCATTTCATCATATCAACGAATTATACATCACTTGATGTACCCTAACATCACTTGATGAACAAACGAACATTCATTTAATGAAATCGTTTATTGGACGACTTTTAATGTATAAATTTATTGAATTAATGTCTTTTTTTATTATGTACACGTACTTTTTTGGTTCAGTGTAGGAATATCCTTGAATACTTATTACATTAGAAGAATATGTTATCTCCTAATGGAGTTAATTATTTATCGAATAACAACAAATTTCATTTCCTTTATTTGCGTACGAAAAGTAGAATAAACAAGCACTGATTAAGTCTAACGGATATTTTTCTTGTCTTTCTAGGCAAGTTTAATTAGTTTGAAAGTATCTCATGAATAGTCCAATTTTAGGACAATTTGCTTAATTTCTGTACTTCAAGTTCAACGTTTACTTAATAGAGATAGTTAAAATTTCAATTGAATAGTATTTAAAAACAACTTATCATAATTAGATTGAAATTTCAGCAATGCCAGTCCTATCTCGAATATGTTAATAACTGACAGTAGTTAACCATGTAGGAAATTTTTTATTGTAATTGCATAGAATATTTATTACGGGTGTTTTAATAGCAAATTTCGTAATTTCGCTTTCCAAAGGAAAGAGGTATAATGTTGAAAATTAAGAAGTATTTTTCTTAGTAATAATTTTAAATACGAATTCCCGGATTTCTCTTGCAAACATCTGTTAAAAAATTCATACATTAAAATATTCTTGATACATATTCCAAGAGAGTTTAGTCAAACATTATTGACTCTACAAGAAACCTTAACATATATTACAAAGAGATTACATAAAAAGCCGAGTAAAAATATCCTTTAGGCGCCATATGTTTGTAGTGGTACATAATTTAAAAATAGTCAACCCTCCCTATCATAGAGAAATTACTCGTTAATCTCCAGCATATTAGTCGAGTTTATGTCTCAAAAAAATTACACAAGATGCTTATTAAACAAATTGCTTAAAACAGCATTTCAAGTTTGTTTTGTTCAACCGGATTTTTCTCGCATCCTTCACACGACTGCATTTCATTTCATTCATGCATTTAATCGCACAGTAATACGAGTATGTGCGTTACATAAAGTTCGAAGGCAGTTAAGTTTTTACGAGCGCCGTACTTTCTAAATTCTATATTTAGCGGTAGAGGTATTTAATTTTGAATTTTACGGTAATTACGTTCATTCATCGCTAATGTGGCTTCGAAAAATGCTAATTATTCAATTACGAACGTTTATTTATTGTACAATAACGATAAATGATGATGGAGAATGTTTTTTTTTCTCTTCTCGTTACAGGTCGGCGTTAGAAACGCTAAAGGCGATGCTGGAATCGGACGGGACCAACGGATTCGTCGAAAGCGAACATTTTTATACTGTAATGAATGAATGGACGCAGAAAATTTCTAGTCAGGAGGATAATAGCGGCGAATTTGGTCCGGCATCTAGGTAAATATCTTTATTTAGCAGGAAGCAAACCTACTCTGCGATAAATTGCTACATTTTTTCGCATTATAAGCGAATAAGTGGCACTTTAGGCTGCGTTCGATGGTATATAAACAATAACTGTCAAATTTGACATTTATGACTTTTATATGACAGAAGTTTAATAGAGATGGGAATCGATTTTTGAGTATAGAGGTGTAGTAACGACTGTTACAAAATAAGCGTTATTTTCCAAAAATCGTTCTCCTGGTTTTCTACTCGAATTTAATTTAATATTGCTAAATTTAGCAAGGAAATGCTTCCACACCAAAGTCTACTGTACCATTTTTTCGCATTATAAGCGAATAAGTGGAACTTTAGGCTGCGTTCGATACATAAACAATAATTGTCAAATTTGACATTGTGTATGAGAAGTTTAATAGAGGTGGGAATCAATTTTTGGGTATAGAGGTCGACTAGACTGTTACAAAATAAGCGTTATTTTTGAAATATCGTTCTGATTACTCCACTCGAATTTAATTTAATATTGCTCGAGTTATATGTACACAAATAATTATATGGAACAAGTCGAGTTGTCGAGTTTGTATTATGAGAAGAATGAGGGGAAATGGGATAGGTGTGTAGTTATAGGGCTTGTTTCGTAAATTTACCAGGATGAAGGTGCGGCTGGCGTATGCGCTGCTTGAATCGTTTCGAATAAAGTCTAATAAAACCGCGCAATTTTTAGCAATTTGATGGATTTCGACGATTCTCTTCCCTACACGCAATCGACGCCGAGGCCGAGTTTCGGACAGAAACTCCTCAGCAGTCAGGACCTTCTAAATTTATCCAACGTCTCGCACTATAATTGTTCACCCACCAAACAAATTAAAGATCACAGCATCGGTGAGTTTGGTATTAAATTTCTCTCTCGCTACATCGATGCGGAATTAATACACCTAAAATTTTTTTTGTGATACCATCCTAGGGGGTCACGAGAAATCTCTGTTGGAGGAAAAGTTGAAGCAGTCCCAGTACGAATTTGCCAAAGTCCTGGACGAAATGAACATGCTGAGGGCGCAATTGGCCCTATTGGAGGAGCAAAATGAATATCTACACAACGAATTGGATCGGTTCAAAACTCGCTCGCAAAGGTAAACCGGTAACTTGTCATCGAAAGCGAAAACAACCTGTTAAATATTATGAAAAATATGTTAATAAATTCGTCGGTAATCCGAGGAATGTCGCTTAGTAATATGAACGCATAACGTTGAATAATTTAAAGCCGTAGATTTGTTGCACTAATCGATGCATAAAACATAAGTCTTATGTCGAAAGTTGTCGTTTATAATTCGGTTAAATTTTTTTAATATGATTATAGGAATTAAATATTTTATTATTCCACTTTCTACTACTGTTAAATTATAAATTAGCTACTAACAGTAAATCAAAAACTGTTTAATGTGGGTATGTATAATTCTAATCTATTATTAAATTACTGGAGCTGGGGGCATATTTGCGATAATCGATCAACAGTTAGGTACATATCTTCAATCTTAAACGATGGCCCGGCATAAAAATTCCCATTAAAATTAGGCTGATTACAATCAAAATTAATAACTCAATTTAGTTCCTCTGTATGGAAGGAATTAAGCTGCTCGTTTCACGATTGTAAATCCGGGCACATTTTTAATAAAAAATGCGTTTTGTTACTGTTAGCGAACACCAAATAAACGGGCATTTGCAAGACCACAAAACCTACCAGGACGATTTGAACGAAGAAGATACCGTCGGCAAGCAGCGCATCGAAGAATTGAACAAAAAATTGAATTTCTTCGAGAAGGAAAACGCCCACTTGAACAGATACGTCCAAAAGTTGGAGAAAGAGGTTAATATTTCATTCGATAAACTCGTTTCAAAACTTACATTACACCATTTCTTCTCGTAGAATTCGGAATTCGAAGATCGCTACCACCACATGCACAAATTAGAGCAATGCATGAAGGACCAACTCAACGACATCAAAGCCGAATTGGACATCAAAGAGCACGAACTGGCGTCGGAGAGGAAAATCAGCGAGGGCCTGATGAATAAATTGTACGAAACGCGCAGCGAAGTCGATCAGTTATTGAACGAGAACGAGGTAAACGGCACTGTGTACAAATCTCGTTGAGAACGAGGCCAGATAGCTTACTCGATTAATTTTCAGTTGCTCGACCACAAAAAGCAAGGTTTAGAACGAATCCTCACCTCCGGTCGCTACTCCCTATCCTCGCACTACATCTGCCTCGACGAAATGAACACCTTCTTCATCAAAGGTACCATTCCCATATACTCGTCGCCGCCGTCCAAGCGCCACCGCTCCACCAACAATTCCTCCTTTCTCCTCAACAACTCGCTAAATCCCCTTTCTTCTTACGCGCCCGTAGAGCCCCCGCCGTCGGCGTCGTCGCCGGCGAGGAACTCGACGCCCGCCAGGCCGGGCGTCGGCCTGAAGAAATCGTTCTCGTTGAACGCCATGTCGACGCGATCGATGCCCAACATATTTTGCACGGAGCGCGGCCGCCCGACGACGGCCCACCAGGATTCGCCCAATTTGAAGTTCACCAACGGCCCGTACGAGTCGCTGCAGATGGAGCTGTTTCAAGTGAGTTTGAGTATATATTTTTTTTGAGCTGTTTACTGTGTGTTTTGCACTATTAATTTGCACTCTTGAGTAAAGCAGAATAGAGTAGAAGAGAGTAGTGGATTATTCTAGAGTAGAAGAGAGTAAAGTAGAGTGGTGTAGAGTAATAGAGAGTAGAGTAGTGTAGAAACAAATACAGTAGTGTGAAGTCAAAGATAGTAGATTAGTGTAGAGATAAAGAGAGGAAAGCAGAGCAGTGTAGAGTAACAAAGAGTAGAGTAGTGTAGAGGCAAAGAGAGTAGAATATTATAGAGTAAAAGAGAGTAGGATAGTAAAGTAATAGAAGAAAGTAAAGTAGGGTAGTGTAGAATAGAGTAGAATAGTGTAGAGGCAAAAATAGTAGATTAGTATAGAGTAATAGATTATTTAGAGTAGTGTAGATTCAGAGGGAACAGAGTAGAAGAGAGTAGAGTAGTGTAGAGGCAAAAAGAGTAGAGTGTTGTAAAGTAAAAGACAGTAGAGTAGGGTAATGTAGAGTAGAAGAAAGTAAAGTAGTGTAGTGTAGAACATAGTAGTGTAGATTTAAAGAGAGTAGAGTAGTGTCGAGCAAACGGCAGTTGAGTAGTGTAGAGACAAAGAGAGGAGAGTAGGAAAGTGTAGAGTAGAAGAAAGTAGAGAGAAGAGTAGAGAAGTGTTGAGGAGAGTATAAGAAAGTAAAGTATTGTAGATTCAAAGAGAGTAGAGTAGTGTAGAGTAAAAGAAAGTAAAATAGGGTAGTGTAGAATAGTGTAGATTCAAAGAGAGTAGAGTAGTATAGAGTAGAAGAGAGTACATCAAAGAAAGTATTAGAGTAGGGTGTATAGTGAATTATAATTTTTACAATTATATTGAAAGAACTAAAAATTGTCAATCGTCAAAAGAATTATTTGTAGTTATTTTCCGGGGATTCTGTGCCGAATTTACTTATAGGATTAAAGTCTATAATCCCTCTTGCTCATAATTTATATCCTCCCGAAGAAATGTGATTGAAATTTTATGACGGTGTTGTTTGATTTGGTGCCTGTTTTTTCTTTAACACGAAAAATTTTTATGTGGAGCATTTTTTGTGTATCAGGAAACTTGAAATGTGTATTTAGTCGTGGCTTAGCTAAACATAATAAAGATAATGCGGCATTTTTTTGTAATAAAACGAGCGGGCGATAGAGAAATTTTATAGGAATCGTGTGGAATAAGTATGACTTGCTCAGTAAGCGAATATTTTGAGAATTTTTGAATAATTTCTCGTTATTTATACCGGTTGAAAAAACCGGGAGGATAGTAATAATACTTATATCGCATTGAAAAATGCCATAAAGTAATAAATCATCGGAAATTAGAAGAGCATTGCACAGCTGAGAACCCATTATTTTAAAAACTTTTACTGTCATTTGTGCCGATAAGCATTCATAGCCGTAGGTTTAGGTGTTATTTTAATTTTAAAAAAATTCTCTCAAATTTATTCACGACATTGTTTGCCAATAACACTTTAGAAATTCAACTAATTAAAAAACGAAACAAATATAAAAATGTATTAGTTTGTATAGATAAAACATATTTTGAATCGAATAAAAATCAGATGACCTTAAACATTTACCAGTTTGTTAATAACCGACGCGAAAATATGTCGGTAATTATTCAAATTACGAATGTATTCGCTGCAATTAATATATTTTTTTTTCTATCTATTACGCCCATAAATATAACCGATGACCCGCCTAAATTACACAAACAAACTCAGCATTAAAAGAAGCGAGTAAGAACGAGCCGTAGAAGAAAATTAAACGGAATCGGAACCGCACCGATTCGTAAATATCGCAATTTGTATTCATTCTGTGGAGCGTCGTCGCGCCGGCATGACCGATCGCTCGTTACTCGTGTTCTCCGCATGCACCCATATTCCGCGTATTTATCGCTTACACCGCCACAATTTTTTCCCCGACAATCTCTCGTCTCGAATAAAAGATGAACGAGCCGTGCTTGGAGTGCCGCCGGCCCATTTCGGAATCGGTATTTTGCGAATGCCAATTGTGCCGCCGGAAGATCCACAGTTCGTGCGCCGATCTGTCGATCAGCGACGCGAAATTTCTGCGATCGATATCGAAGAAATGCCTGAAGTGTTTGTGCCAACTCTGCCAGCAGGAGATCCGATTGATTCCGCAGATGTGCAGGGCGTTGGGGGAGTTCGAGCGCTCCTTCGACGATTGTTTGTCGATGGTAACGAGCGCTGTTGTTAGAGGGAAAGCGCGCGATGGTGGATTTGTTGGTGCCAGCGAGGTGATAATTTTTTTTATTGGTTATTGAAGTTAAAAATTTCACAGTTTTCTAAGATGATTTGAGGATAAAAATCGTTTAATAGTTGATGAAACAACCTTTGAATAAAAAATTCAAGGTGAAATTACTGCTGGAATTATACTTGTAAATGTTATACACTTTAATTCAACAAAATTCGTTTATAATTATAACAACAAATAGTATTATTTTGACGACTTTCTCTTCCACGTTTTTACAATTAACTAAATATTCACTAATTCTCTCTTAATATGCACTCATTATTAAGGTAATTTACTCTCACTTACTGTCTAATTTACCCATTAAAGTGCAATATGAAACACTTTTTTTTTTGTAATTTTAGGTTGATCCTCAATACCAATTCGACTACAAATCCAAAAATGGCATAGACATCGAATACGAAGACGACCTTAGTCAAACTAAGGACTTGACGCTCGAAGAGGATTCCAAAGTGGCCGTCGAACCGAACAGTAACAGTGATATAGTAGCTTTAAACGAGCAAATAGAGCACCTGACCTTAGACAAACGAGCCCTCGAAACGTACATTTCGAATCTCAAAGAGGAGAATAAGACTGAAACGAATAGGATAGTTAGAGATTTAGAAGATAGATTATCGTCGTTAAATGACGAATGTGATAGACTGCGATCGGAGATCGATGTTAAAAACAAAGAGATTATCGATGTTAGAAATAAATTCGATTTCGAATCGGCGTTTAAGAAGTTAGAGATAGATTATAATAAAAAGTGCAATCTGTTGGAGGAGATCCGGCAATTTCGGGAGAACGATAAGAACGTCATAGCGAAGCTTTCGGGTAAAATCAAAGAGCTCGAAGGCGATTTGAAAGATAAAGAGAGGTTTTTTATAGACAACAACCTTCATTCGAACATCGAACGAACCGCTAACGCGGTACAATCGCACATCGACGAGAAAAAATCATTCACCTCGGAATTGAGGAAGCACAACATCGAGTTCAAGTACAAAATTAGCAATTTAGAGAACGATTTAAACGACAAAATGAAGCAAGTCGAACATCTCAAAGAGATCATCAGAAAGGACGAAATCGCCAAAAACAAGCTACAAAAACACAATCAAGAATTGGAAGTGGAATTAGACATATTCACCAACGATTACAAGAAACTGTTAAAAGACGTTAGCGAACAAGAAAACTTAAAGAAAGAACTGAAAGAGGAATACAACAATTTACTCTCTAAATTCAACCAAGAAGTCGAATTAAACCACCAACTCGCCGCGCAATTATCCTCAAAAACCCACAGTTTAAACGACTCCAACGAAAAGTACGACCGCTTGAGCGAACAATACTCCGAACAATCCAAAAAATACTCCAAAGTACTCGAAGAGCTCTCTCAACTCAAAAGCGAAACCGAAAAAATCAGAGAATACCACAAATCGTTCAAAGAAGAACTCAACAAATCGCTCTCGGACTACCAAAAATCCCTGCAATTCCTGAGCCTCAAAGTGAAAGAGCTCGAAGTAAAGACCATCAAGCTCGAGACCGATTGGTGCAATTTCCACGAATTCGACAGCATCGAATCGGACGATAAAAAAGAAGATTCGTCCACGGAATCCAGCCTGATGACATACACCTACTCGAAATCCTCCTGTCCCAAGAGCGCGAGCTACGAAAAGCAGAAGCTCACCATCGATCGCTTGAAAGAGAAACTGAACAACTTGGAGGAGACCTTGCTCAAAGAGCGCGGCAAAAACAGGGCGCTCGCGCACCGCCTCACCGCCGCCGAGGAAGACCTCCGCGAAGGTAAGATCTCCATCGGTTTAGAGAAAAACGCGCTGCAATTCGCCGTCGACGATTTGCGCGACAAGCTCGCGCAGCGCGACATGCTCCGCGACGCGGCCGAGAAGAAGATCGAGGAGCTGTCGTTCAAGCTGTCGCAGAGCGACCAGACGCTCAACGGGGCGCTCATAAGTCTCGCGCAAAAGGAGCAGTTCCTGAAGAGCGGCTTCGAGGCGCAGGAGAGGCTGTCGAGGCGCGTGCGCGACTTGCAGGCGCAACTGAAGGGGCTCAAAGCGAAGGGAATCGATTCGATGAATCGCGCATCGGACGATGACAAGCTAGCGAAGGATTTGAGCTCGGTTAAGTCGCATAAAGGGACGAATTGTACGTTGAGTTCTTTTGTGACAGATGAGAACGGGTGTCCTTCGAAGGATCACGTTGATGGTGTTACTGTGAACGGGAACGAAAAGGATTCGAATGTTGGCAAAATGGCCGGTTTGTTGGATGTTGTTGTGGAATATTGCAGTGAACTCAATGCGTAAGTACCCGTTCGATCAAATCGAATAAATACAGGGCTGTTCCTAAACATAGTGTATATCCGAAAGGGGTGATTCCTTGGCTTATTTTATGACTAAAAGTTTATGAAAAGTTTCTTTTTTTTTGTTTTTTCTTTGTAGCTCCTGCAGTTTTTGAGATATTTTGCTCAAATTTTGAATATAGATTGCTTCAAATTTTGAATATAGATTATGTCAGATGGTTGTTGAATTCTACAGGGTGATATTTTTTCAGAAGTCATATGAACCCTTTTTCCCCCCGAACTATCTTGCTGTGCGCCGCTGGTAAATTTTAAAATACAAAATGAATTGTCTGTTTTGTTTAGAAACTATATTTATTTTTAAACTTCTTTCGTTTCTGTGACCGTTATCAAGAAAAAAATTAAAAACGATTTTCTTCTACAAATGATTTATTTTACAATTACAAAAACCCTAAATAATAATAAACTACATTATAACAAATGTTGAAAGTGGCCCCCTTCTAGTCAAACTATACTCTATACTATATCCTATACCTAATTTGAGCTAAATATCTCAAAAACTACAGGAGCTCTAAAAAAGAAACAACAAAATTTTGAAATTTCAACACCCTGTAGATCGGTAACGAAGCGTTTGCGGACCCACGTTCATATGAACTTTTAGTCATAAAACAAGCCAAGGAATCACCCCCTTTCGGATGTACACAATGTTTAGAAACACCCTGTATACTTATGATTTTTTGTTAAATTACAGTTCGTTTACGAAATTCGTCGTGCACTGGAAGAGCGTTATCGAAATGGATCCGATTTGTGCTAATCTACCATCGTTAAAACTGTGTAATTCACTGGAACTTGAAGATATTCTTCCTGCGATCGTCCACAATTTTAAGGCCATTATTTCGTTGTTCAACAACTTGGTGAGTATCTCGAATCGAGGGAAATTTGGCTCGATTACTTAAATTATTGTCGAGTATATCACTAACAAATCATTTGTATAACTGAATTTTGCACGATTAATTTTTAAGCCTCTGTATATGTGTACTGTCAGGTAATTTTTTAACCGTCACACTTTTTGTCTATTTATATTATTTTAAAATACACATTTCTCGTTTTTTTAGATACTAAAATCTCCATCGACGATGCAAGACGATGCCGATTCCTACTTGAATTATCTTTCGCATCCGAAAGTCGCATCGTAAGTGTATCGCAATATTATTTTTATTCCGCTTAATCGTTATTATTTCTTCGAAGAAACGATCCGAAGACCATAAGAAAATTCACGTTGACGTCGTCGAATCCGAAAGCAAAAACGACGGTACAAACTCCGGATAATCGGGACCAAGAATCTCGAGATGTTGGTCAGTCGAATTGCGATAAAGAATGTACGAATACAGAAGGTGGAGAGCACAGTCCTGTTCGTGCGACTTGTGATTTTTCGAATATACAAGTAAGTTACTAACATTCTAATGTATTATATAATCAAGATATAATTTTTTTACAGTTACCAATACTTAATTTTGATTTACAACTACAAGGAGTCTTCCCACACGTATCGGAGAACTTTTTAAAGCAATCGGGTCTCCACGATTCTAGTCCAAAGTAAGCAAACGAGAATTTGTAATGCGTCGTATCTGTATCGCGTTATAATTTGCAGGAAAAAAATGTCCAAAGATGAAACTGAAACGTTATTTACCACATTTGCCATACAGCTCGGTTTGGAATCTAAAGATATCAAAGAGCGATTGAACAAGCAAAAGGAGCTTTGCTCGAACATTCACAGGAAATTTAGTAGTTTGTTGAGGGACGTATCGGTGAGATTGAGAGACCACAAGTGCATCGGAGCCGTCGATTCCATTAATCCGGTGTACTTGCTGTTGGAAGATCTCAGGTAATATATTTTCGTTGCGTATTTTCTATAAATTTTTTAATCGCATCGCTATTTAGGTATCAAATGAACGATATGTCGCAAGCCGTTGGACAATTGGGTGCTCTTACTTGCGAATGTCATATGACGAAATGCTGGAATTTAGTTACAAATTATATGGCGACAGTCAGACAAGAAGTAGAGTATTGGAAAGAGCAATCATCTTCAAGTCGGTAAGAAACTTGGGAAATGTTGTTTTGAAATTTCCAGCGAACCAATGGTGACGAATTAAATATTGGTAATTGAGTATTAATTATAGGTTGTTGACAGGCGAAGCAACCGGTATTACAAATTTAACTGAAACTGAGGAAAATACCTTTGAAAAATGTCCTAGCTGTGAAAAGCCAAGACTTTCAGCTGAGCGCAATATGCAGATCAAGAAGCGTTCGAAATTCAGGTAAAATACTTATTTTTATTGATATTAAAGTACAGTTGATGCAAAACAAATATCAATGCACGTCACTACTGTCGTCATTCTTGCCAAGCATTGTGCCCAACCTTTAAAAATAAATACACAAAATAGATTAAGCTTAATACCTGCAGAATTTAATTTACTATTAACAAGGGATGATAGAAAATGTTAAATAGCTGAATTAAATCATCCAAAAATATATATATTGCCAAAATTCAACGTTTGTATATCCTTTGTTTCAAAGTTGCATAGTTGCACTTGTCATTCGATCGGAACTTTTAATTTTTTCTTTTTTCCAATTTACTAGCCTCAACTACTAAAGGCTATTCAGCCGAATAATCAAGAGGTTTCAATTTGTTATTGTCATTTTGCTTCAACCATATTGCACTCAAATGTTTAAAATGAAATTTTTATTTTCTAGAAGCTGTTTGTCGATATTTTCAAGTGCCTTTGTTTGGATGTCCTATTTCTCGTTTCTGTTATTTATGGGTATTATTTATGTCCACTGGCGTTGCAAGGTCAACACAGAACTCAAAATTTGTCCCCTTGACGATTTTGTAAATGTGTTTTCCCAGTCTGCTGGTTGCCCTCCTTATTAGGGAAAGAGTTTATCTTTTTGTTTCTACTTAAATTAAAGCATATGTAACGTGCCATGTTTATAATTTTGTTTTTTCTTAGTGTGATACAAAATGTTTATTAAAATATGTTTTTTCTATTTAATTACTTTTTATTTCCTAGTTATGTAAGTAGATAAAAATATTTGTTACTATGTATTATGTAGTAGGAAGTGGCTGAAGAATCCCCCAAAACAAGGCAACATACTGGTTGATGGTGATTACGAATTCTAATTAGAAAATACGCATAACTACTAAATTTCTGATTTATATAAGAAAAAATAACCTATTTTACCTTACTTATGAAATTCATAATACAGCAATACTTCTCAGTAACTATGACTCAAATTGTGGAGGAGCCAACGACTGGTACAATTTCGTCACAGCAGTTTGAACAATTTGTTGGAACGTTTCGTCTTCGGGACATTTCACATCCTAATAAATGTACAATTTATATACCGAAATCTACGATAAAATACTTCTACTCACCAAATTATTAAGATCGATATCCGCCCGTTTATCGTTCACGGCAACGTACAACTTTTCCCCTTTGAATATCTTCGGCACCGAATCCTCTCCAAACATGTCCTGCAGCATCTCGATCAGGCACTCCTTGAAATGCATCCTGTCCATTTTAACGGAGGTCGTCACGTTTTTAATGGGTTGTTCCAACAAATCCGCTTGCAAAATCGCCGCTACTATCGCATCTGCGTACATATCGTTCACTGGATTCGCCACCCACTAGAAAATTTTCGCGTTTTTATACACACAAGCTCTGTTTCATGGAGATAATTTACCTCTAACACGACGATTTTATTTTCAATTATTATATCTACTGCATTGAAGGCGCGCATTTTCTTCTCCCCGTCTATCGATTCCAATAAACCGGCCACTTGCGATATCATGTATCTCAAAACTCCGCTGTTGCCGGAATAATGCAAACTCTGTCTTTGTAATATTTGGCTTATATTCAAATCTGTATATTCTGCGAATTAAATTCACAAATTAAGACTCGACTTTACTAGAATATTAAGAATAAACTTACTCGGTAAATCGTCGGGGGATAGAACGTGATAATTGAAATTCCTCTTGACCAATATACCGTTTAAAGTTTTGCCGGTTTGCGGTTCATCTACGGCTAATTGTCCCATTACTTTCGCCGTTTTCTCGCCTCTGAAGTACAATTCGACGGAATGCGTGTTTCTCGGGTTGTATATGTTAATGGTAGTGTTGCTGTCGTCTTCGTATTCCCTTTGAAGGGCCGCTTTCAAACGACTCATTTCGTTTTGTTCCCCATGAACTAACACCTAGAACAGAAGTAATTGTTATATAGGGTGTTAATTGAGTGCCGAAAAAGCTCAAAGAGCTCAAAGAGCTCAAAAACCAAGAGGTTTAGGACACATCGGTTGCTTCAATTAGACCGAAACATGGTCGTTTCTATGAGTGGAACAAAGAAAGATTATTAAAATGACAGTTGTCAGAGTGAAAAGTTGCAATGACACAAATGTCACTCTTTCCTTTTCCTCTGTAAGTGTCTAATGGAAGTTGTCTTTATCGCACCCATGGCCTATATAACCTATGTTGCGATCAAAAATGGAGCAACCTGTATATTGATATAAACTTTTCTTCTTAAAATCATCCAAACATTCACATCCTGAAGTATCGGCACTCGATTAATTAACACCCTCTGTATTTCAGAAAAAGCAGAAAATAATAGTGCTTACTAAATGAGGAGGTTTCAATATTCGTATGAATTCGCTAGTTTGCTGGTAATCGGTGTGAGCAGAAAAAGATATGTAATCAACGGACATTTTTAACGGCAACTTTTGCCCAACCATAGTCGTAATTTCTTCTGGTTCTGATAAAATCGTTTTAGCTAGCGTTCCTTCTACACAGTAACCTGTAATAAACGATACGATTAAATTAGATTAACGAAGCGGAATCGATAAATAAATTATACCTGCTATGATAACTCCATTTTTCGCATCGGTACACCAAGTTTCGAAGAGTTCCCTGGACAAACCGCTTTGCATCATACCGGGGGATGCCATCACTACGCACGGGCCGATATCATCAAAATGATCGATACCCTAAAAAAATTGGAACCATTAATTCAAATTGTTACATTATTACACTTGTACAAAATTGCTAGAGACGGTCCTGTACTCGCTTAATCAACATTCGAGCTTGTTTAGATTAAATTTCGTTAGACATTATTAATATTAAAGGTATTTCATCAGCTCAAAGGTCAAGATGATGATAAAGATAGCGTAAAGAACTCTCACCGACAAAACAAACTTAAAGTGCGCTAAAATTTGTTCGATTGTTCGAATGCAAATTAAAAGTATGTATAAAAATTGAGGTTAACATTACATTTAAACTATTTAAACAATGCATTTTGTTATAGATGCCGCAAAATAAACAAAAATCCGCTAAAGAAAAACTCATAGAATTTTTGGAAAACAACAGAGGCTTAGTCGTACTGTTCTTTTGCCTACCGGCTAGTTTCCTATTCGACCTATTTCTAACAGCCAAACGAAACATCCACAGGCTGCTATTCAGCAGTCCCAAATTACACGAAACTCGCGCGGCGAAAATCCAATCGCAAATTCGCAAATGGAACGAATCGCCGAAAGAAAACAGAAAATTACTCTGCACGTCGCGCCCCAATTGGCTCAGTTTATCCACCACTTTCTTCAAAAAAGACCAATGCCATCAAATCCAAGTGGATTTATTCGACATACTATCGCTGGACGAAGAAAATCTAACGATAAGATTAGAACCAATGGTAACGGTAGGAGAAATAACCAATTACCTCATACCGAAGGGTTATACGCTAGCAGTAACTCTAGAAATAGCAGATGCTACCGTAGGAGGTCTCGCCATGGGCACCGGCATGACTACGCACTCTCACAAAGTAGGTTTATACCAAGAAAATGTCGTATCCTACGAAGTTATATTAGGCGATGGAAGCCTAGTAATCGCCTCGAAAGAAGAAAACGAAGATTTATACAACTGCCTACCTTGGTCGCACGGTAGTTTAGGCTTCCTGGTAGCCCTTACATTGAAAATAGTCAAAATTAAACCGTACATAAAAATGAGCTACACTCCCGTGAAAGGTCAAAAGGACTACTGCGAGATGATCAGGTTCCTTTCGGGAGACGATGGTACCGATTACCCCGTAGCCGATTACATCGAAGCTACGATATTCAATCGAAACGAAGCCGTTATTATGACAGGACAATATTCCGATTACCAACCTACTCTACCAATAAACAACGTCACTAATTGGTACAAACCGTGGTTTTACAAATACGTCGAAACGTTTTTAACTAGAGGAAAACACACCGAACTCATACCGATCAGGGAATATTTACTGCGCCACAACCGAGCGATATTCTGGGTAGTCGAATCGATGATACCGTTCGGAAACAATCCCTTATTCAGGCTGTTATTCGGTTGGCTTTTACCGCCTAAACCCGCATTTTTGAAGTTCACCACGACCCCCGGTATCAGAAACTTCACGTTCACCAAGCAAGTGTTCCAAGACATCGTACTTCCCATAAGGAAACTAGAAGATCAGATAAACGTATCGGAGAAACTGTTCGACGCTTATCCTCTGCTGGTATATCCTTGTAAAATTTACGATCACGGAGAAATGAGCGGACAAATCAAACGACCCAATCCGGATTATATTGTGGATGGTACTAATTACGCTATGTACAATGATTTAGGAGTGTACGGAGTGCCGGGTTTCGTGAAACGTAAGGAGAAATACAACCCTGTGGATTCCATGAGGAACATGGAGAAGTTTACTAGAGACGTTGGTGGTTTTTCGTTTCTATATGCGGATATTTTCATGACGAGGGAAGAATTCGAAGAAATGTTCGATTTGAAACTGTACGAAATCGTCCGGAGGAAATATTTCGCTGATGGAGCCTTTCCGCATTTGTACGATAAAGTCAAGCCCGAGATAGACGTTTTCGAATTGGGAAGGCAATGCGAATGAAACCTGTATTGTAATTTTACTTACCTTTAAGTTAGATATATGTTTGAATACAAACGGATTATTAATCGCTATTTGTCGCTTGATTTTGTCGTTCATCGCGTTTATGTAAGTCTGATAGACAGCCATGCATTTCTTCGCTAAGGAGGAAGCGTAATAGATCGGGATGTCGTGGAGTTCTGGATGTTGACTCCAATATTCGTCTACAAACGAGCTATTCATTAATATCTAATAATTCCAACGGTTGATGTATTTTACCTAAAATAAGCAGCAATTCTTGGGCTCTTCCTAAAGCAAATACCGGTATTAGGCACCTTCCACCTCTATTTACGATATCGTGCACTAATGTAGTAAACCGACTCTCACGATCCTCCCTTTTCTCATGAATGTGTGTACCATAAGTAGATTCCTGTCAATTAAACAAATCTGTAATACAAACAATTTAATACCAAATAAAATTCTTACCGTTATTAAGACATCTGGATGTATCGTGGGAATTTCAGCGGCCATTAAATGCCTATCCTCTTGTCGAGAAAAATCTCCGGTATAGAGTATCTGGAAAAATACAGGTATTTATTGAATGTAATGAATTTGTAATTATTATATATTACTTTGACACCGGCTATTTCGATCATAAACATGGCAGCTCCCAGTACATGTCCGGCATTGTAAGCCCAAAATTTAACACCCAATACATCTTTTTCTTCGTGGAAATTTATCGTTTCGATTTTGTCCATACTGGCTTCCAAATCGGCCTCTGTATATAACATTTGTTCCGTAGCAATATTACTAAAATTCCATGTTATTATTAAAAAGTAATTACGCAAAATGTAATATACTTACCTAACTTTAATGTAATCAGACAACAGCCACCTGTAAATAGCTTTGGTTGCATGGGTCATGAAACAACGGCCCTTAAAACTAGTTTTTAATAGAAACCAAGGCAAGGCTCCGCTGTGATCGAGATGGAAACTGGAAAAATAACGTAAATATTCCTTCTTGTTCGTTAATAGATTTAAAACTTACTGGGATATTAGGAGTATATCAATTTCATCGGCTTCAATTAAGTCGACGAATGGTAGAGCATCCATTCCGGATAGCCCTGGATGTATTCCGCAATCCAACTGAAAATATAAATTTTAATTGCAAATGATTAATAATAGAGTTACTAGAGTTTGACAGACCATGATTTTTTTTCCTTTAAATTCAATCATAATACATGATCTTCCTACTTCTTGGCCGGCTCCTCTGAAAAGAGAATTATTTTTTAGTGACAAAATGCCGGGTACCACAGTTAACAATTTACTCACAGTGGTCGTATAATCAGTTGATCGCTCTCTTCAGCGGGGATTTGTGACTCCGCTTTTCTTTTATAAGACATTTTTTCTGAGTTTTAATATATTTTGCTATTAATTGGTATATCAAAATCAAACAGTTTATTTTCCTATTTAATCATAACCTAGAAAGAAAATCTTCTTACTGGTAAATATATCAATAAGTAATACTGAACTACTAAAAGCATCCAGCCACCATAATACTGAAAATTTTTGAAGTTGGCAGAATTGGTAACTGAATTTTTCCTGTCAAATGTCAATGTCCTACAATTTTTAAGCAAATAATTTCAAATTTGTTTATGTTTTTGTATTTTTGAAAAATAACAATGAAGTTCAGAGGTTTAATGACCGATTCAACTGCAATGCGAGAATTTATGAGTAATATTTTACCTTCTATCATATGACATCATCCCTTTTTTGTATATTTTTTTTAGATATAACCTTAAGTTTATCGAAGTTTTCCAAAGAATGTGTAATGCGAATAACAAATCGAAGGGTTTATTTCATAATATCTGCCGAGAAAGACGCGGGGCCTAGAAGACCACTAGCATGGTGCGAATTACCTGTTAGTTTTTATTTTAAAGAATACAAACTAGTAGGAGTGAATGAAGAATACAACGAAATTTATTTAGAGTTTTCTACAGGTTCGTATCTCTAAAATTATTTAATATTTCATTTTATATTTGTACATTTTTTCAGTTCTCTTAGCTCGTTCTTTAGCCATTTTAAAACAAAATGTAAAATCTTGTATAATAAAGCTTACCAATAAACAATCACCTTGTCTTACTCTCGAAATGGAACTAGTAAGTTAAAAATAAATATTAAAGTACTTATTAGTAAATGAAATTATTATTTTTAGGATGCTGAAGAAATATCTAGTCAAATAGTACATGATGTACCTGTGGAAGTTATTTCAAGGAAATATTGGTCAAACTACGAAGAGCCTAGATTTGACGATTTCCACGTATGATATTCAACAACATCAATTCCCGATTAATTGATTATTATATTTTCAGGTTACTATCCAAATGCCTAGCCTAAAATCTCTAAGACCTATCGTAGAAAGATTAAAAAACCTCAGTAACTACTTAACAGTTACAGCTAATAAAAATGGCCGGTTAACACTACAAATAAAAACGACCGATGTTAATCTATCCGTACATTTTACTGATCTCAGTATTCAAAGTTTCGCCGGTACGTTTTTAATATTATAGAGAATCCATTTTTATCTGTTATTTTTTTAGGTCAATTGGTAACGAGTGATGACGATATAGAAGATAGTTCGAACAGTCAAATTTCTTCGACTATCGATATAAAAAAATTTCTGTTGTTCCTGGCTGGTTTACAAATTAATAACACTCGAGTTTTGTGCAGCATTGTTCACAATAAAATGGTTAAATTGTTCATAGAACAACAAGGATCGTTGTCAATTCAAGTGTTTCTGACTGAAACAGATTACAAGAAATGAATTTTATCCTACTAGATTTAAGCTCAAACAGAAGCAGAAGTGAATCTCTCATCACACACATTTATGATATTAAATATTTATTTATGCTACAATATTTAATAAAGTATACCATGTTTGTTAAAAAATTACCTAAGGTTAAAAAATTGCTTAATTGTTCACAGTACAACTAACAATGACTGAAACGGTCACTATAAAAAAAAACGGCAGCCAAGTCTTTAAAAAACCCGTAAAAGAAACGTATTTACTGTAAATTAACATCAAAAAAGCCAATTTTACCATATTCCATTTCCTAGAATCCTTGTAATTCATGAGATCTAAAGCAGTGGCTACGAAAGAGTGACAATTATCACACAGCAAATTATGAGCTCTATTTTTGTATATAACTGCTGCTCCTGTTACAGCCAAATCCCATCCGCTGCAAATAAATTTATAAAGTTTATTCGATTTCCTCGACACCCATTTGGAAATTTACCTTGCTCCACCTTTGGCCAACGATGGAGAAAGTTGCCAGTACTTCACCGGCTTTGCAAAACCCATATTATTCTCTGCTACATAGTATGAACCGGCAAAGTCTCTAATAACACCGTTGGAAAGGCCTATGCCCATATGACCAATTATAGGAATTAACCAAGTTAAAACTGGTATCGGTGTCCATACAATGCAAAAAGGAAATTTGTCCTGGGAGGGATCTACTTTGTCGCTCATTTCGCCTAATTCTACAGTTTCCATTTAGTTATGAATTATAATTTTCATGTAGAATGAGTAGAATCATTCAAAATATCTCTATAGCGCACTCAAAACAAATCTCATAATGACATTTGACATTATTGACAAACATAAATTCGTCTTTTTTAAACTAGCTGTACAACCGAACATTTGAGACCATTTGTAACACCGACAAGTAGTTCATTCTAACCTTTCTGTCAGTTCTCTTTTACTTTATTTTTTAAAATACTTCAAGATGTCCCCGGATTTTATATTTACTGTGGTTTATTTTTTACTTAGCGTTTGCTTCATTTATCCGCCTACTGAGTTTTTAACAGCCGGGGTAACTATAGAGCACATTTTCAGCAGCGTATTAGGGAACAAACACGAAGATTTCATTTTATACCACATAAAAAAATCATGTATTTTCCTCGTATTCTACTCCCTACTGCCAGTTGGGTACATATTTTTTTCGAATCTATTAGGCTATGCGAATCTTGTAAGTGCAACAACGGATTTAATTTTGCGATATATCTATCCTTCATGAATTCTAATTTTAGATTATCGATATGTATTCTTCGTTTCCTTTGCTATCAACATGTTTCTACATCTTCGCCATAGTTCTTCCCACTGCGAGCATTTACGAAATATTGAATTGGACGAGAAACAACTTCGAACAACATCCGATATCTCTAAATGTTTCGAAATTTGCCAACAACAACGAGGACTGGCGATTCGTAGCCCGAAACATAAACATGGAGTTTCGAAGGTTAGTGTCGTATAAGAGGGTACTTTCTAATTTTAATGTACAATATTTTTGCAGCGTTAACAAAATATGTCTCCAAACGAGCTCCATTATAACAGTGATAGTCACGGAGAACTGGATTTTGAAAATATCCCCACTTACTATACATATTGCTCATCAAAGCGATACCTCCCTAGTTGTCAAAGAAGCTCACACATATCAACTGTCTCCTAACGATGTGCCCTCCACACAATACCTAAACATAGAAGTGAAGTCGGCTAGGCAAGGAGTCGAGCCGTTTATAATAAGAATCAACGCGGGTGATTTCAAAGATCTCAGCGATCGAGTTACAAGGAACATCACGATACTCCCCAACGTAAAATTCCACAAAAACGTTATAGAGCAATTCATCGATGTGTTTAAAGAAACTGTTAAATGCAACCCCAGATACGAAAACAACGAGGTAACTAGATCTCATCACAGTAACATCGGAGTACTTATTAAGTAAATATTTTCAGGTTCTGGATAAATGCATCGGATGCATGCAGGTGAATCCTAACATCAAGATAAACAAATCGTGCGAAGACGCGGCCGATGATCCGAATAAATGCATGAATTGCTATTGCAGACCGATGTGGTGCTGTGACTGTATGGCCAAATGGTTCGCGTCCAGGCAGGACAGCGAGCGCGAGAACACCTGGTTGAATTCGAAATGCACCTGCCCTATGTGTCGAGCCACTTTTTGCATGGTAGACGTTTGTTTATTGTCCAATGCAGAAGTCAATTGAACAGGTATCGATGTTCGTTACAACCGATATTACCTTTCTGAGTTATTGTGATCATTTCGACAACGTTTTTAGTTTGTAAATAATGAGACTATTTCTATTTTATATACGTACCTAAGTTGCATATTGTAATTCACTAGCGACGTTGTTAATTATTTAAACTAGGATTAACATTAAATGATATTAACTGAATTCTTTATTTTATAAAATTTAACAAGGTTTAACAAACAACTTATTTTAAAGGTAATTAGTTAATGTAACTAGGATTTATTTGGCAACTGCGGATTTTACTATTCAATCAAAAATAAATTGTGGTAAGCGAAAACATGGTAAAACAAATCAGTCACAATCAGCTTAAGCGACTATTTTTTAATAATACGTAACAATAAATAGAACTAATGGTATAATATTGCACAAAAAAAGGTACTTCGTACATTGGACTTCTCAATCATTTAACTTTTGTATGTTCCCTGTTCTTCGTATTCCTCCATAAGCATTTTTCTACTATAAATTCACTCTTCATAGTTAACATGTTTAGCGTACCTAAAGTACCCAGCAGCAGGTAACGACCTGTACAGCCTCGTGACCTCAGCATTGCGCCTTTCATTTCCATTTTCCTCGGGCACGTAATAATGCACGATCTGCGCTTGCGCGTCCGACTTCGGATGTCTCCTGTACTTCGAATGGTACCCGCTCCTGTGCTGATTGCTCGAGTAAGTACTCAAGCCGGGCGTGGTGACCGGCTTCTTGTTCGATTTGTACGTGCCCGGCAGAGGCTGGGTGAAGGTCTCCTTGGACTTGGTCCTGACGGGCTTGAAGCCCCCCTCTATTTCGGGCTCGTTGAGAAGCCCCTGGTTCTTGTAGTACTCCTGCAGGTACTTGGCGATTTCGTCGCGCGTCAGCTCGTGCGAGGGCTGCAAGGAGGTGTCCTGCTCGGAGTATTTGTTTTTGTGCACCGATTGCTGGTGTGTTCTGATGTTCACTTCGATGGGGTTGATTAGACTGACGTCGACCGGTTCTATGGGGGTGTTTTTGATGAGGCTCAAATCGACGGGTAACTCGGGTGAAATTTTCTCGTACTCTTCTTTGATTGATACGTGGTGTCTGATGGAATTTTTATTTGTAACAGGTCTTGTGTTGTATTTTGATTGCACGGAAGTGTGTTGGGATTCTTCGGCATCTTCTTCTTCTTTCGGATATACGTATTTAATATCTTCTTGAGGAATGTAGGAATAACTGTTTTTTTCGTTGTATTCATCTTGGTGATTGGATTCCTGTTCGTATTTCAAGTCGTCTTCATCTTCGTAAGAGTATTGTTTGTGGTGTAGCTCTTCTACTGGTTTTAGAACGAGCTCCTTGTGACTGATGGGTGCTTCTTTAGATTGTATCGGGTGCTTGAAGGTACCGGTGTGTTTCACGACAGCGTTAAAACCCGAGTGTTTGTCGGCTGTGTAATCTACAGTACGAATCGACCCGTCGGGTTCCACCAGAGAGTACTGGCCCTTGACGGTATCGCCATCTTTTTTCTCCCATTGGTGCTTCACGTCGCCCGTGTGATAGTCCTTTACGCCGTAGCTGAATTGGTAGTCAGTGTTTTTCTGGAATTTTTTTATAAGTACGCGATTTTTTTGGCAATGGATTTTTGAGAATTACTCACGTAATCGTCGTGACCTGGTGCATAGGTCTGGTATCTGAGCGGGTTAGCAAAAGCAACTGCAGTGAACATGAATGCAATCTGGAAAAGATACCCGTTATTGTAATAGAGGGTGACCCAAAGAAAAGTAGCCCCTTTAGTGAGCTAATAATTTTCAAATCATAAAAACATGCGGTTCGCAGATATATTTTATTTTTATTTGTGACACAAAAAAGTTGTATCATTAATCAATAAATTCACATTAACTAAACTTGATGAAATAAGATATCTTTTGTAAAATACATGTACAAATAATACATTTTTGAAAATTAAAGGAGTATATCTTTCAAAATATCTCTATATGTATACGAGGTGTTCCATTTAAAAAATTTACTATTACTATAAACAATACTATTACACAATTATAAAAGCCTTAAAGTTTTGGAATTTTATGACTTAAAAAGTCACTCGTGCTACCTTTTGCTACAAAATTAGATTTAATTACTATCGCCTGATAGCGAACGGAGTATATAACTATTACCAGAAAAGAAAACCTGCGGTTACTTCCTAAACAATTATTTACATACCTGATAAATCCACATTGCAATTTCTACGGTTCAAGTTCAAGTTTGTTCTCTCTTTTGTAACCTTCACCACACCATCGGTTACTTTCACGTACTGTCTCCCCGACGAATCTCGGGATATATTTATAAGATTTTCTTCGGTATATCCCCACGTCGATCTTCTCCTCCGCGGACGACATAAATTACATTTAAAAAATCGCAGGATAATATTTTACTATCAAACCACATTAAATTCGACTCGACATATTGTTAACGTGATTAATTACCGATAGCTTTTACTTATTAGCCTATCGGATTTAACGCACTTAACACTCCCGAAGATATGTTTGCTTAATTTTTACCCAAAGTTTTCTATTCCACACTTTTGTGTGCGAAATATGATAAAACTAAAGGCGTGTTCGGTTAGAAACACGCACGAAAATAATATAAATAATTGCGCTACTTTTGTAATTACTTCATTTCTACAAGACGAAAACGAAAGCACCGTCATCTGGTGTTTTTCCGCAGGGTGTGCGATGGCTGTAAAACGTACGGAGACGATATATCTTCTCGAATAATCCTGTTTTGTTGGCGGTGCAATGAAAATAAAACAGATGCACAACCTTTAACAGAGCCGGTTGATGGTAGAAAGTAAAAGACCGGTAAAAGTTTTTATGTTTTTCTTCTTAGGCGGGTTTCGTAGAAATAAACGCGACATTTTTTTGTTTGCCTACTGAACCAATCCGTGTGCCGTCTAATTATTTCGGTACTATTCCTTTATATCCTGCAATATTAACAAATATCCTAAAGAAATGGCGTGGATAGGAGAATCGAATGGAGTAGAGCAGAGCGGAGTAGAGAAGAACAGATTTAGAGTAGATTAGATTCAGTGTAGAGTAGATTCAGAGTAGATTCATAGTAGAGTCTAGTAGAGTAGATTCAGAGTAAAGTAAATTCAAAGTGGAGTAGATTCAAAGTAGATTTAAAGTAGGTATTATAGAGTTAAGTAGAGTAGATTCAAAGTAGAGTAAATTCAGAGTAGAGTAGATTAAAGTTTATTTAATGTAGAGTCTAGTAGAGTAGATTCAAAGTAGAGTTAGGTAGAGTACACTCAAAGTAGAGTAGAGTAAATTCAGAGAGGAGTAGATTTTGAAAAGGTTAGATTAGAATCAGAGTAGATTCAGAGTAGAGTAAATCCAGATTAGACTAGATTTGATTAGAGAGTTTTGTCGTATAAAGAACAATTCCATCATAAATATAATTTAAATAATTAAAAATTTTCCTCAGTCATCGCAACAATTAAATTAAACGAACGGTTCAGATAGCAATCATTGTCAAGAGTAAGAGGATTTCGAATATGAGAATTAGAAATGGAAATGAAATCTTATTGAAACAACAATTATATAAAAGGATATTTCGTGTACGAGCGCGAGCGCGTCTTCCTGACGAGTTCAAAAGCAAATCCGTAATATTTTATTTGAAATTATTTACATAAAGAAAGTTAAATACAATTACCGCACGCATGCCGGGCATCCTAATTAGAAACCAAATAATCGATGTTTTTGGAGTAATGCGTAACGAATGAAAACAGAAATTATCGGTGTGTTTATTTTATTTACGAAGACCAAACGTGAAGAATTTAAATTGCCAGAATAATACAACAGTTGAGTAATCTTTCGCAATTCTTCGTTGTCAGAGTGGATTCAGAGTCAAGTAGATTCATAGTGGAGTAGATTTAGAAGAGTAGATTCTGAAAAGGGTAGATTTAGAAAATAGTAGAATCAGGGTCGAGTAGATTTGGAGTTCAGAGTAAAGTAGATTCAGAGAAGAGTTAATTCATAGAGCGAGTAGATTAAAAGTAGAGTAGATTCGGAGAAGAGTAAATTCATAATGGAGAAGATTCAGAGTAGAGTAAGAGTTCAGAGTAGATTCAGAGAGGAGTAGAAGAAATGAGTAGATTCAAAGTAGAGTAGATTCAATGTGGAATAGAACAGTAATGCGTAATGAATGAAACCAGAAATTTTTATGTTGTGTAAATTTTATTTACGAAGAACAACTTGAAACACTTTAAATACCATAAAAATACAACGCTTTAGTATTCTTTGTTTAAATTTAGATAGGATTTTTTTTAATTCGAATCGTTTCTGTGACACAGAAAATACAACTTGAAGGAAGTAAAATCGAAGAAATTTATTAACATTTCTACATTCGCAAATCTTCTCTTTCAAATTATAGCAGTTTTCTAACATTACCGTCGTCTTATTTGGTATTTAGAGTGTCGCGATCGAGAAATTTCTACGGGGATACCGAAGTGAAAACAACGAAAATTTTTCTAAACTCTCCGTTATTTTCTAACAAGCGAATTAAATCTACTCGTTTATCACAAAGTTATCTTAAACATATTCGAACGTAGGTTAGTAGAAAACGCAAAAATTACATAGTTAGTAAACAATAAATAAATAAATAAAACCGTATAACTAATAGATACATAAAAAACTATCTAAAAATATACCAAAAAATTATCGTTTCGGAAATATTTTTTGGCGAATTCCTTGCAATCTTCGTTGGGAATGGCGAAGGCGATATCGGAGTTTTCGAGCGAAACATCCGGTAAAAAATGCGATTTCAACACGTCCATCATCTGCGTACCCACGCCCGTTCCTCTGCAGGATTCAGCCACCCATATACGGGGAATACCACACTTTATGGGACACGGAACGTTCGCGTACGAATCAGAAGTACCCGATACTAATTTATACCCGTGAGGCATTTCCGTCGCGACGAGACACCCTATTATTCTCTTTTTTCTGATGTATAAAAAAACCTAAAATATGCTCGTTAAATTATCGAAATATACGCTATAAGAGGATTATATTGCCTGGCATTTTTCCAACGAAAATTCGATGTAATGCCAGCCCAACTCTCTTTGAATAAACTCCATTAAATCAACGACTTTTCTCCTCCATATTCCCGAATCTTGCGGCAGGATCTTTATGATTCTTTCGCCCTCGCCTTCCGCGATGACTCGCTCCTGTCTCCATCCCTGCAAAAACGGCCTTGTACTTAGTGGGAATTGCGTTAGTGCGAATTAGCTTACTGCGAATTTTAGCAGGCGTTTGCCGGTGTGGTGGTCCTCGTGTTTCATTTCGTCTTGGGGATCCCCTTGGTCGTAAACGTACTCGCACCGGGGGCACTGGACGATCCCGAATTTTTTTTGCCCGAAATCCAGGAGTGCTTGATTGCGCGCCGGTTTGATGAATTTTTTTACTTTTATTAAGCGTTTTTGTGTGTTAGTTTTTACCGGTTCGTGTTTGGGTTTGTGTCCTGATGTAAAAATGGGAAATGGTGGTTTGTTCTCCTTAGAAGGGCCATCCTGTATGATTGTATTTAATGCAGGATTCGCGTTATTTGGAATAGTTTCTGCTGGTGATTGGCCAGCGAAAGGAATGTACTCAACAATAACCTTTTTAACATCTTCATGATGAATTTCTAGGGTTATATTTTGCTGGTTATCGTTAGGTGTGTTGCAAAGCGAAGGTTCTTCGAGTTCTTGGGAAGTACCGGGAGTATTTGGAAATAATTCGCGTGATATGTTTTTCGGTTTGTGGATTTTATGAGTTATTCCTTTAGTTAATTTGCCGAATTTTTGGCTTCGCGTGACCGATTTTGTTCTACCCATGTCCTGCGTTATAATTTTGAATGATTAGAAAAACAGGCTGTGTGCAAAAAGTGTATGGGTTGCAATTAGAAAATTATTGGTTCACCCAGCTTGCAATGAAAAAACTGTTAAAGAATCGATTCTTTTTACCTTTATTTATCCAAGCCTTCTCGGTTAAATTAGTTATTAATTTATCACCACAAGCAAGTACAGAAACAAATCAGAGCAAGCCACATTTACCTCCTTTTTTTAACGAATGAAGTATCCATTTTTATAACAATTTAATCGATTATCCAAATATTACTAATTAAAGAAGGAATTATTAAAAAAAAGTGTAACGCAAAGAATTATAAAAGTAAAAATAAAATAAAGTTAAACAATTTGTTATACAGAGTACAATAGATTAATTATTTCAATATTTTCGGTTGTTTATACATAAAAGTGACATTTGAAAAAACAATAATGGAGAACTTATAAATTATCAAAGTAGGCAAGTAATCTAAACTTTTGCTTTTAAAACGCTTAAATCTAATAAAAGATAGGCTAAATGTTAATTGATTGATTATTACTTACAATATTAGTTACATAATTATTACTTACCGCGATTATTAGTCCTTTTCTTTCCAGTAAATTTCAAACGACTCCAAAACCATAAAACCAAACACCAAGCATACCTCGCCATCTGTCGGTTATGTAATAAAGTAAGTGTATGACGTAAATCTGTAATCCAAATTCTTTCACTATTTGACATAATAAAACTTTTTGCGTATACTAATAGATGGCAGCAGTTACTTTTTTTTAATTTGTATAATTATTTAATTTAATTTATTTACATATGATGTAAAACCAAAAGAAAATGTTTTGACTTTGTATCGTCAAATTATCTTATAAATTTACTATATCTTTTATATAAAACAGCTTAATGACCTGGAACAAATTTTTGATTGATAATTTTTTCCTGCTTGGTTCTATTGCAATTTCTTTTTGTTTCCTAAACAAGGCAAATCAAAAAAACTATCGCGGAAATTATTGACGAGAGAATCCTTTTACTTGCTGTTGATGCAGGAACATTGCGAAAGCATCAGATGGTTCGAAAATCGTCGACTTCCTCCATTTTTTTAATCTCATTAATGCAAATATCAGGATACAATTAACTGTAAATACTCCTACATATTACTTTTTGTTAAGAAGTAAAAAGTTGATTATGTTGACGATATTATTCGACTTTTACTTTTTAAGGGTACTTCCCATAGCCTCATGGCCTTCACCCTGTTAACACAACAGCACAATTTTTACCTAGATTTCCAGTTACCTTGAAAGTTAATTGCTGATGTTCCACTAATGATTAAACAGGCGCATTTATCCCACAAGACCTTTGTGAGATTTAAAAAATCGAAATACCGCAATTGAAATAATTACAATCATCACAGAGTTCAATAATCGATTAAAACGCGAGTTTTGACATTCAAAATCGATTGTTTGCTCTTATGCTCCGGGCATTACAAAAAACAATAGCGTCCTAATTAAATTACGCCAACTAATTGAATCGCGATTAAATCGAACAGCGCTCGCTATAAATTCTCGTCCGTTTCGGACATTCCCCGGCGAATCGACGAGTTTATGGTAATGGATTACATGAAAATACAACCTTTTCGGTCAAAGAAGCGTCTCAGAATTTTAATGAATTTGTCCAAAGAATACCCGTATATTTTTCACTGTCAACGAGCCGATACGTCGTTTGCCGGTACTTGTGTAAAACCGAAAGTACCGGGCATGTTTTGAGCGTAAGTAGACAGGTAATTATTAAATGCCAGGAGAAAATTTATTTCGAAGACCGGAATAATGGCGCTGCTTTTCTTACCGAACAATGGGGTGATTATAAATTTTAAAAGCGGGTATACGTCTCGTGATATGTATAGTTTTATAGGTGACGATTTAAAAAGTACCAAGGAAAATTAATTGGAATTGTAATTAACCTCTTGTTTGCATACATGAATAAATTACAAGGTGCGACTGCTCTTTTCATATACAAAATACCGCATTATGTACACAGCTAACGACACAATTACACGAATTACGAAAGTAACGAACAATATAAATTATAAATAACAAATTGGTATTCCGCAAAATTGGAAATTTCAACGTTACAGTTCGTAGGACGGTAAATTTATACCTAAGTGCATCGGAATATCAAACATTAACGCCCATCTTACGCCTAGTTGAACACTTATGCACGTCGCAAATTCGTATGATTTTCGAAAAAGAATACGCGATGCAGTAAATTGCATCAGTGAAAGTGCAGTTACGGTTTAAAACTTATAACTCGCAGTGGAAAATGTTCAGGTGTGAGTTATTATCCTGATGTGATGGAAGTTTCAGTCCACATTTCAGTTCAAATTGGCCGAACTGGCTTGTTAGTAAAGAACCAGCATTAATATACAGGGTGTTAATTAATTGAATGCCGATACATCAGGATGTGAATATTTGGATGATTTTAAGAAGAAAAGTTTATATCAATATATGTCCTAAACCTCTTAGTTTTCGAGCTACAGTTACAGTTACAGTTTTAGAGAAAAAATATTTTTCTATCATAATTTTCTTATTATTCTTATTATTAAATATCAAAAGCAGTCTCAATAAACTGGGGAAAAATTGTTTTGGTTTTTATTTTTTTACGCGAAAATGGTGCGTCGTACGAAAATAAGACTTTGGACCGAATTTGTTTCAAAATAAACGAGGATTTTAAAAATAATTTTAGTTTTTAGAAAAAGCAGTGGCGTACCGTTTTTTCTTCAAACATATTCAGTTCAAACCCCGTACGGACGTCACTGGTAAAAATTTAAAAAAATCTTATGTCTCAAAAAATGCTTCTTAATAATTAAAAAGTGTATACAAAATTTCATAAAAATATCTAGAGTAATAAGAAAATTATGACAGAAAAGTTTTTTTTTTCTAAAATTGTAACACCTTGTAGCTCGAAAACTAAGAGGTGTAGGACATATATTGATAGAAACTTTTCTTCTTAAAATCATCCAAATATTCACATCCTGAAGTATCGGCACTTAATTAATTAACACCCTGTATAAAATAGATCAGGATGGTGAAATTTAAAAAACCTTAATTTGTTTCAGCCAATCAGTGTCATCATACATATTATTGATTTGAATCAATTTCTGACCGAAAACCATCAAAATCACCTTACTGTATTACTTTTTTCATAAATATAATTCCGATTGCGCAATCCATGCAAATTTCCCGTTATCTAACGGACATTATCTGTTATAAGAATCTTTAACAAGCATATAAATCGAAATGCATATTAATCATACCGTTTACCGCAGCGCTCCCACGCTTACCATCCCGCAACTACTGGTTTTCCTATTTATTGTTCGATATAATAGGATAATCTGCGTTTCCTGATGTCCTGATGTACCTTGAAGATATAACAATCGAAAGGATACGTCCATATATTTAACAATTAAAATTCAGAATAACGTCCTTCAACGCGGTGACAGAGGTTGTTTTTCTAACATTTACTCTATTGTTGCATCATAAATGGAGTTTTTTTTTTAATTTTTTTCAAGCCTTTATCCACTAATAAATTAGTTAAACGCCCGGTACACTTTCGAAGGAAAGTTTTTTGCACGAATCTCCATAAACGTAAGCGTCTCATTACAAGATATTTAGAATTTTTTCTAACAACTCTGACACGAGACCCAACGAACAAGCCATAGTAAAAAAATTCTTCACGCTTCGCTTAAATATACACCTTTCATAGATCATGCAATCAAGCCGCAAATGGCTAGTACAAAAGGGTATCATTACCTCAAAGCTCCAGACTTTCCGCTTTCGGTTTCGTCTGTCTGGATCCGGAGACTTTACCATTGTTCTCTCGCTCGTACTTATCGCGAGAAAAACCTGCCGGTAATTACGATACTTATGCAGAACGTTGCGTTAAATCTTTTTATTGATACATTTCGCTTAATAACTGCAACTAGCCGAGGTTCGGGGCGATTTGAAAGTAAAATGCGCACGTAACGCAATCTTTACAAAACAATCCATTAACCGAGTATCTGAAAATTTTACAATCAACATGATATCGAAAAGTCGAGAAGAATTTAAACCACAACGGGCATCTTCGGCTGATTAACGCCAAGCTATTTGGATCAAGATAAGCGGCTTCGGAGAATAAATAAAAACGAGTTTTTTACGCGCTCCCATTGCGCAAATTTTATTGAAAAATTTTAAAGGTCGTTACGTGATATAATTCAATTTTCTCTCATCTTCTTTGGCGACTGTAGGTTGAAGCGTTATAGTGTGGTCGCTTTCTCCGATTGTGCGCTATCCCTGCGCAAGGAGCAGGATTAATATTGCGTAAAAATGTCCATCAAAACTAATCATTAATCAATGGTGATTCTCGCTTTGGAGGATTACCTCTCGCATGAAAGAGAAACCTATTGGAACACACTTTAAATTTCCTGAGAAAAACCCCTTTAAGTGTACGCCAGTGTTTCATATTTAATATAAAATAAAATTTTCCGGTGGTTGAGAAACTTTTAATTCCACTAATTTTATTTAGCGGATCAGTAGATCCCGATAGATGCATATAAAGCTGCACGGTGGCTGCACACGCTCGTTGCATCACATTTTTACGGCTCTTTTAGAATAGAAAACGCCGTCAATTAAAAATAAAACGCCGGATTCGGTTTTTCTAAAAAATCGTTACTTTATTACGAAGATATGTACATATTTGGTATCATAAAAATCTATGACACATATTTATGTTGGAGAAAATTATAGGATTGTTTTACATTGTTTGATTTATACAAGACTCGCAGGTTGGAGGAATTTCGTAATTATAAACTTAGGTGAGTCCGTTTTATTTACCTACAGGTAAGTAAAATGCCTCAACATATTGGGAAATAATTTAAAAAATTTTCCTGTTTTGCGTCTTGTAGAAATAAATTACAAATTAATATCCAATTTTGATACAATAACTCAAAATAATTACAATATAAATAATTACATATTTAACAATTATTCCAATAGGTGATTAATTAACTGGTACAAATTATAAAAACACTAGGAAAACTGAAATATTTCCGCGAATTTAAATACTCAGTGTTATTATAGCACAAAACTTACGAATTTTACTGACCTTTTGTTCGAGTTCAAGCCGAAGGAGGCAATTATGTAGATATTACTCAATTTCGAAATTCGAAAGCTCCCAGACAAATTTTATTACTGGAATCGTAAATTAATAAGAAAATGTCATTCATAATTCATAACTTACTAACTCGGGCGATAAATCGCATGCAAAATTTTAGTATAAATTAGTGAAAAAAAAGCGAATGTTTTCTCATCTACAATAGATTCTACACTTTCGTTCTGACTTAGCCGGATTCGAATCCATTTTAACACTTCTCGTGCGAACAAGTGCGTGAAATTTACAATAATATTATACAGGGTGAGGCTGAGGCACATAAAGTGTTACAGAGCAATAACAGTCAAACTATTGATCATATACAAAAAAGTTTCAGACAAATGTTGAAGTGTTCGAGAAGGCTGTCTTACTGGGCCACTTTTTTATCGTTGGAGGCGGTGAAGCCTCGTCAAGTTCAACTAAACTTTTTTAAAGGGAACCAGAATGTTTAAAGAATGACCTTGTGTTGCTAGTCCCTGAATTCGTCTTAAAATCGGCAATAATATCATTGAAAAAAAACTACATGTTTCCCTGTACAAAAGTGGAGTTGACCTTGACGTAGCTTCAAAGACTCCACCGATAAAAGAAGAGAGTGACCCAGTCTGATGGTCATCTCAAACAATTCAACATTAGTCTAAAACTTTTTTGTATTTATATGATCAATAGTTTGACGATTATTGACACTTTCTGTGCCTCACTCTGTATACCTATCATAAGAACTGATAAACCAAGAATACTGTTATGTATAAAAAATTTCAATTCTATGGCTGTATTTCGACAGAGTCGTTAATTTAGAACACTTGGAAAATACGTGAAAATATTTCTATAGGTGCATTAAACAATAAATTATTCATAATACAAATACACAAGACAGGAGAAAAGTAGATCAAATGAGTTTTGAGAAGAAGATATAGTGTATACAACAGAAACTCTCATAAATAACAAATTACACATCGAGTTGTACTGTATAAAAAATAAATTCCGTACAATTCAATTCGACTATAAAAAAAATAACAAAATTCCTCAACGTATTTGCGACTCATAAAAATATTTCCACGCTTCCCGAAAATCCACAAATCGTTTAGGTATTGGCACAGCAATTATACAACTCCCTACATACATAGTCTTACTGATAATACTTCTGATCTTCGACATCGTACACAGAATTCTCATCTCTGGGATTACCCAACTGCTCCTGAGGCGCAGCCACTACAACAATCTGCGGAACGTAATACCTCACCCCCGACGAATACACCACCCCTATCTCAGGAACGGACCTGTCATCCTGCCTGTGAACAGGCACCAAGTACACCGGCTTGTTGTACTTAACCGAAGGACTCAGCACGGTCTTCGGCAGAAACTCGTACTCCTGCCGCTCGAACACGTTCGGCCCGGTGTAATCCACCCCGAGGTTCAACTTCTGCAGCTGCTTCTTGTAGTAGTGGTACTTGGGTATCGAGTTCGGGGTGTACTTCCTGTCCAACGGCGTGCCCAGGATCAGGTTCGCCGCCGGTTTGTACGCGTACAACTTGGTCCTGTACTGGCGCGGTACGGGGGGCACGTAGGTGTTGGGATTGGGGACGTCGTCCCGGTTCTCCGACACCGGCGCCGGGCTCCTGGCCTCGATGGTGCGCTCTTGGGCGGCCGTCGACTTCGGCTGTCTGGGTACTATGGGGCCTTGGTTGGTGCCGAACGATACCATTATGGCGCGCGATGAGGGCAAGGTTGCCAGACAGAACAGCGACAGCTGAAACAATACACCAGATGAAGATAAGGAGGATGGAATTCTAGCTGGCCGGATGACTGTGTAGGCGAGAGGCCGGGAATGAAAAAGAAGAATCAATTTGGTGATTAATAGTAAAAAGTGTAGTAGAATCGAACGCGATAGTAGAAATGTTTTGATACCAGCGTTACGCAACGAACTATTTATCTTTTTATTCATTAAACAGCAAGCATAAGTGTTGGTTATTTAATTATTCTCTGTTATTGCGGATTGCGATCGTTTGATACAAATCTATAATGGTGGTTATTTTGTAACGTATTAATTAGGCAATTCGATCGTGAATGTTTTGGCAATGTGTACAAGCATACGAGCATGTTTCTGCTGCGCGCATAATATGCTAATTTGGACGTACAATTTAGTAATAGTGAAATCAAGATATTGTACCTATTGTTTTTTTTTCCATACACATTTCGATGCAATTGCTGACCCACTATGTTTGGTTCAGTTCACTAAATTTTTAAACTGATTAGAATCTGATGGTAATCTCGATGAAAATAATCGCATTTCTTATTTGTCGGCGCGAAAAACGTGATGTAATAGGTGAATTTTTCGCGGGTTAATTGGTAATGTTCGTTGCCGAGAAAAAAATAATTTTGTAATATTTAAATGATTAATTATGATTACACTTATTGGGTATAGTTGTGATTATTTAAGGAAAATTACCATATTTAAAATATTAAAATTAATGGAGGTATAATAAGTTCGATAGGTATAAATGGATTTTTTTACATAATTTTGTTTTGTTGTGCAATACTTTCTTTTTCTATTTTATTCTACCGATTAGTATATAAATCTCAACATTTAAATTACGGCCTGCGGGCAAGAATATTTGCACTCATTAATAAAATATCATTCGTACAAATCTGATGAATGCCAAGATACAAATTAATAACACTATTTAACGTCAATACCGATAAATTTAATTAATCGATGGCGATTTTTCCGGCTCCATATTATGATTAAACGTTTCTCTATTCAATCAAAGGTTATAGCAATATTTGATTATGTGCTAATTAATTCATAAGTAGCCAATTCCGTTTATAGTTTTATAGCCAGTTCCACGGTAACGAGACGCACTTATCGGGAGTAATAGTAAATCATTTCGGCAATTAACATTTTACCATTACCATATAATACAGCCGCTTTCCACTCATTCCGGTACATGTTTCTCATTGCTAAGTACATACTTGCAGTAAGTACCTACCTACCATTTAGGCTTAATATGTAATGTTAATAGGTATTGGCTATTGGGGTATTTTCTGGGATTTACGGGTGTGGTTTTAAATATGATGTATAAGTAACAAAAGTAGTTTTTAAATTATATTGAATTAGCTTTGGTAATACTATAGGTAGGTACTATACAAGTAGTATAAAGAGATGTATAAACAATTCACAATGAAATATACGATGGTATAAAATAATACAACACTTGCGGTGACCGTGATGGAAGATATATGATCGAGTTCTTCGTTTATCGCGACGTAAACGCGTTGGTAAGAATCTCTTCGAAAATGGTAAAAAAGCGATAAATATGCATTTAGGTCAGATTCCGCGCCAAATTCGATACACAGGTTTGTCGCTCGTTCAGGGTTAAATCTATTTATTTTTACGACACTCTTGCCAAACGCGGTTTTGAGACAAATCGTTAAAAATTTACACGAAACCGGCGATAACATCTAACGTGCACGGTCGCGTAAAATGTAGACTTTGTTCTACACGATTTCTGTGAACAACCATTCTGGTTTCCTCTTTTTTTAACACTTTTTACTACCGCATACTCGAGCTGGCTGAAATGCTGCATCACTCGAGGCCGCTGGATTAAAAGTTGAAGAATTTCCGGAACAACCGAGAACGCCAAAATTCATTATAGACTTTTAGAACATGTTAGTGAACGCTCGTCCAAATTAATCGTGATTTCATTAACATAATGTTGTGTCTGTATGCTACTATTGCAACTGCTGTTGTAGTAGCAGCCCTGTGCTGCGTGGGCAGGAGGTTCATCCCTTGTTTGTAAACATGCCTTCTACCCCGTAATATGTCTATCGTAATAAAGAAATCTAATCCCGCCCGGCCTGTCAAACTACAAACTAAAAAATTCAAGAGGGACAAATCGAGCAAAACATGGACACGATTATCTAACAGAATTGATAACAACAATCCAATTACCGACACAAACACGAAACAAATTGAAATAGTAATAAACGATCTCGGAGACAAGAAGATACCTGTACAAGACTTTGTGACTTTAATCAGTCCTTATACAGCCGATGGTGGAGCTGCATTGAGGTCTGTTTTCGACGAAGACGCGCGAGAATTTCGACAAAAGATGGAAAAGTGTTACGAAATCGCTGTTCAAAAAGCTTTGGGCGATAAACAAATTGCTTCTATACCATTATACAGCAACAAGCACGACGTGGTGACTGACAAAATGGTGAGAATTATAAACAAGGTGCTTCAAATGGTACCGGACTTCGATTTCGATAAGTACTGGCGGTACGGTAGCGATTATTTAAAGTCCGCAGTACCCGTACCGCGACTGGAAGAAGACGAGAATTTACGGAGACTAAGAAACGACTGTGAACGGTTAACTGAAGAAAATAGAAGATTAGAACTTATTCTAGACAAATTGAAGATGGAGCAAAAATTGGAGCAAATATTTGCCGATGAAGTTCATGCATCAGTTGAATCAGTGCGCGTGCAATTGGAAAAAGAAGAGGCGGAACTGAGACAACAATTGCACCAATTGAATGAAAAAATGGAAAGATATTTGATGGGAAACGAGAATATTGCAAATTGTAGAAATGGGCAGTACAATTTCAAATTGTGTTCCTCTCGATAAATTTGGTACATTATAGTTGACCGGGATTGACAGTGGATTTGGTTTGTTAAATCAACTTTGTTAATATTGTAAGGATTAAAAATAAAATATTGTATGATTAATTAGTATCTTTTTCACTATTATTTAGAACTTGGCATCAATTTTAAAAGTTGTGTTGGTGAAACTGATTCAAGTACAGTATGGCCAACCTTCTCTGTAATTACTTTTCTATGTATTGTGCCTTGCCTTTTGTCTTGCACATTTTCAAGATTATTTCAAATCAAACATTTAACATACTATGCCTGATTGTCGTATCAATCTGATATAATTTGCATGTTAAAATTACATCTAAACGTTCAATTAGCTGGTATGTCCACTAGTGCTTGACATCGCCGTGATGGATTTCTCGTTGTTAATTAGTAGTAAACAAAGTAAATTGTTAGTGTCGAACGAGTTTTTTAAAATAACGTTATTTACTGTCATTACTGGGTAATCGAGGAATTATGTACATATGAAAAAATTCGCCGTGTAGGGTCATAGAATAGAATATAATGAGGTAACGAGTCAAACAAAGTACGTTCACCTTCAATTTTAATGTACAATCTCCGGTCATGTTTTGCTTAATTGCGAGATAATTACAATATTTTTTTCTAGAAACACAATATGCAACATGCATCGAAAGCAATTTCCCTACCTAACCTCTGTTTGAAATACGGTTTCATTGGTAAATCACGATTACGGAATATATATTATTAATTTAATAAATTAATGTACTGAAATAAAATCCAGTATCTGGAGTGTAATAAACTACAATTTCAATTTCAAAATTCTCTCTGCTATAATATGTATAAAAACAAAACGCGTTTCAACATATAACATGCATTGTATCGTTAATTCAAACGGTGACATGTCGGGGTTACGTGGAGGCCAAATTCCCTTTATATCTAATAAAAAAAACTATATTTCCAGTAAATATTACTAAATTCACTAATTTCAAACCAGATTAAAATATTAAATGCCATCAATTACATATTAAGTAGTTATAAATTAACCGTCCGATCAAAGAAATATGTCGTATTATAACCAACTAGATTAATCAATTAACTCGATAAATATCTGTAGCTACTTGCATGTAAAGAAATGATAAATATGATCGATGCAATAAGTAGAACTTCTGCAATATGGATGCAGCATAATTCATTGATAAATTATGTACAATGTAGAGATATCAAACAAGGCTAATTTGCCTTTTTTGGGATAAAATATTAATCTGTGCAAGATGTTGCAACTGCAAATACGTCGGATTATATAATTTTTATTGCAAAATTATATCTGATTTTTAATAAGATAAGAGATCAAATATCAAGCTAAGTAGGTATCAACATTTTTTCCTGATTTATTCATAAAAAATATTACGCTCTCAATGTACCATGTGTTAATTACATGTTCTATGTCATTATTTGAAATTTAATTTTGGATTTTCAATACTACCAACCTTTGGTTACAAAAAATCTAAATTTGACATAAACTGTCTTGCACAGCGCACGAAAACTCACTCCTAACGCGCAGGATGGCTCAAAAAAGCCTCTCATCAATGAGGCAATACATTTTAAATGTCAATATTAGTCATTGTAACGAGCCGCATCATCGACTAGTTCTTTCAAGGTTGCTTTACCATCGGCATGCACGGAGTAAAAGTGATTTATTCCGGTGACGCTCCGGCCGCACAGCCAACTATACACAAAATCGACCGCAGGAGAAAGAAACTGAAAGTTATTTTCTAGTTGGCATAGTGTAATTTTCGTTCGGCAATCTATCATTATCGTAACCAGAAATCGGAAACGGTAATTCACATTAAAGATAAGTACGTGCAACTAAAAAAAAATCGCTAATAAAGCAGAATTGTTTACTCGTTTCAGTAGAAAAATTCATGTCAACATACCCCCTAAAAGTACCTATACTTATAATAGTTAAGTTGATTGGTACAATATGCTCAAAAGTAACTAGATTTAACAGGAAGCCAATTGTAAATAAATCAGTAATACCACCTTTTGCCCTAAATTTTTATGGAATACACTATATTCATCAATTAATTAATCTCATTTTCGTTTATTACTCGGTCTTTTAAAACGATTTTTATTCGTTTAATTCGCAGCTAGAGGTATAACATTGCAAAATCACTTAAATGGATCAACGGGCAAATTGTCGGTTGAATCGTTTAATTGAAATAAATTACTCATCTCTGTTACGTTGACCCGCAATTTTCTCGTTTCTGCGCTAAAAACGAAAATTAGTTTTAGCGGTGAAATTAGCGCGGCGTTCGACGTGTTTAATCCCGCACGTATAATTAAACGTCTCGAAATAATAAGTGCCTAATTACCTGCGTTTTGTTAATTGAACGAAACGCATTCAGATGGAATTTAATTACAATGTTTTAATGGTTTCCATCCTTAATTAAAATTCATTACTTTTTGGTAATTGAACGCTTTCGTGTTCATGCTTGGAATCATCACTATAACGTTCTTTTTATTGAAATTAATTTTATCTTCGCATTTATTATACAAACCGATATATTTCATAATTGCGAATTTAAATAGCGCCTTGGCATTTATCATTTTGAGATAGAATAATTCCCCAACGAGTAGAAATGGCGTTGAAACGACATAAATATTTGACTGCATAGGTTCGTGCTGTCTCGTGCTATTAAATATTTAATTTGTGGGCGTAGGGTCATTACTGTCAATGTATTAAGTTGTTACACTTTGCCGATTCACGAGGTGGAATAAATCTTGTGTGCATACTGTCCGCGCATTTTCAATAAAGTGATTTATTTTGTAATAATACACGCTATTGTGTTGAAAAGTTCGCATATTTAAGTGCACTGCACTGTAACTACAACCGCAACTTTTTTTGACGTTTGTGACATTTTGTCATATAAGTGTCAAAAAATATTTCCTATAATTAAGTGCACTGTACTGTAACTACAACTACAACTTTTTTTGACGTTTGTGACATTTTGTCATGTAATTAAGTGTCAAATATATTTCCTATAATTAAGTACACTGCACTGTAACTATAACCACAACTTTTTTTTGACATTCGTGAGATATTATGTCACATAAGTGTCAAAAAATATTTACAATGGCGTTTAGTGTTTTCTGCCGTTACCATGGCGATAGGTGTCATTAATCAAAACGTTGTTTCATGCAAAATTTCAAAATCTCAGAATTTATATTATCCATATTCGCTGTAAACTAATAAATTCAAAGCACATTTGCGGGCAGCATGGGTGGGTATGGCGTCAAATCGATAAATTAATTTCAACTATTTTTTCTCGACAGTTTTATTGATATCGAATAACTGATCTTTGAGTATTTTTCGCTCGGGCCGCTGGAAAAATAGGCATAATTGCGTTTTAAACGTAATTGCAAAATATTTTAAAAGTAATATGAACCGTAAATCAAAGGAGAGGCATTCATAACGTTCCGAGATTTCTGTAATATGTGAAATACTGAAGAAATTGCAGAATGATTTTAGCTCTCTTGCCATTTCATGCATGTAATGATTTTAAATAATCTAAAATGTATCTGGAATTATCCAAGATAATATATTGATGTTAATGTAACATGGGTGTAGGCACATCAGTTTCTAGGTCAATTAGATCATTTTTCTTTCTTATGTAAAGGTTTTTCTGTACGTGAATTAAACATTACCGTTAAGGTACAAAAAATTAATGAGCTCTAATTAAATAAATTTATCGGGAATACGTATCCTCTTATTTAGCAACGGCATTGCTCAAACGGTTGCATGAGATGCATTAAATAAATGTTAAAACAATAATTTACAACAATTGAAAGACATGCAATCAAGTTCTAATTCCCATTAACATCTACACACAAGCAAATATTTAAATGTAACTAAGTTATTAAAAAAAGGAAAATGGTTCCGTCTGCGTTTGATATTTCTCTTATTTCGAAACTCTGCTATGAGATAACCGATTGTAATAATTATGAATTCAAACACATCATCATTACAATATTAACGCAAGATTTACATAATTTTCGGATTAAAAATTGTCTCTCCGATCAGATATGACACTTCTTGTCGACTTTAATAAACGAAATTTATTAAATAAAAATTGAATTTGCATTCTAGCAATATTAGTAGGTCACTATTTACTATAGAGCATGCATAAATAAATACTTAAAAGATGTTTGTATTATATGCAAATTCTTTAATACGTAGGTTCATTCGTTTTTTAAATGTTTAAATTTTAACTTTAACCTTGACTCACTATATTAATTTTTTTGTCTTTGAGCAAATTACAATAATCCCAGCTAGGAAACAGATGAATTATTTTGGCTCAACATCTACGATGATTAATTACGAAACTTCCTCGTTTAGTTGACATTAGATAATGGCGAATTTATTCAAATGAGCAATTAGCTAATTCGGATACCTATATTTAACTATCACGATTAGCTATAAAAATTAATCGCTACAATCACAATAGCTTAAAGGTCAGTGTTACCAATACGCTTTTTAAATACTACCAACTCATCAAAATTAAAAGACACCAAACAACGCTATAGAAGTAGGTCTGTTTGGGCCACCCAGCACAGAAAAATCGTGATGATGGATTCAGATAAGATGTAATTAAAATCAAACACCACCAAATTCCACGGCAGTGCTTCAATTTGCGAACGAATCCAATTTCTCGAGATAACATCGATGCTAGTGAGAAAATCATCTTTGTTGTTGTGGTAAAGCGTAATTGTATGCCGGTAGATTTATTGGCGGAAGTCACCGTGTGGATCTCTAATTTTATTACCCAATCATTTTGTAAGATAGGTTACATTATGGAAAATACTTTCTTCGTCTAATTTTAATGCTCTCGATTCATAATCACGACGTTACATAAATTTGAAAACGTGCAAATTGGAGCAATATTGCTTCTAATGAAAAAATACTTAAAATGCACTTTAATCTCCTCTATAGACTCAATTTTATCGAGCATTTTATTTGCTTTTTTCAACTCATTAATCCTTATACTGTTTTAATGAAAACAGCCAAATATATAAAACCACTTTT